CCCCCCCCCTTCTACCCCAAGTCCCCCCTCCTTCCATCCCAGCCCCCCCCCCTTCTACCCCAAGTGCCCCCTCCTTCCATCCCAGCCCCCCCCCCCTTCTACCCCAAGTCCCCCCTCCTTCCATCCCAGCCCCCCCCTTCTACCCCAAGTCCCCCCTCCTTCCATCCCAGCCCCCCCCTTCTACCCCAAGTCCCCCCTCCTTCCATCCCAGCCCCCCCCTTCTACCAAGTCCCCCCTCCTTCCATCCCAGCCCCCCCCCCTTCTACCCCAAGTGCCCCCTGCCATCCCAGCCCCCCCCCCCTTGTACCCCAGCCCCCGCCCCTTCCAGCCCCCCCCCCCCTTCTACCCCAGCCCCCCCCCCCTTGTACCCCAGGCCCCCCTTCCTCACCCAAGTCGTCTTTCTCCAGCGTGACCTCCTGCATGACGGCCGGCATGACGAACGAGAAGGTCTTGCGGTTGAAGTAGTAGAGCGTGTAGCCCACGAACATCGCGGCGAAGATGGTCACCCGGTAATATCCGTAGTCCCCTTGACTCGCCATCGCTGCCAGGAGTGCCAGCAAAGACACGGACAGCGTTTGTGTGGCTGCGTCTGTGTGGCCGCGTCTGTGTGGCTGTGTCTGTGTGTGGCCGTGTGGCTGATTGTGTGTGTGGTCGTGTGTGTGTGTGGCTGTGTGTGTGTGTGGCTGATTGTGTGTGTGTGGCTATGTGTCTGTGCGGCTGATTGTGTGTGTGGCCGTGTGTGTGTGTGGCTGTGTGGCTGATTGTCTGTGTGGCTGATTGTGTGTGTGGCTGTGTGGCTGTGTGTCTGTGCGGCTGATTGTCTGTGTGGCTGTGTGTCTGTGCGGCTGATTGTGTGTGTGGCCGTGTGTGTGTGTGGCTGTATGTCTGTGTGGCTGATTGTGTGTGTGGCTGTGTGTCTGTGCGGCTGATTGTCTGTGTGGCTGTGTGTCTGTGTGGCTGTGTGTGTGTGTCTGTGTGTGGCTGTGCGGCTGATTGTGTGTGTGGTCGTGTCTGTCTCTTCGACCTCCAGCGGACAGCGACCACGGCGTGAGACGCCGTGCGGAGTGCCGTCGGCGTGCGCTTTAACACGCCAGCACCACCACTCTCCTCCCACTCTCCTCCCCCGTCTCCTCCCACTGTCCTCCCACTCTCCACTCTCCTCCCACTCCCCACTCTCCTCCCACTCTCCACTCTCCTCCCACTCTCCACTCTCCTCCCACTCTCCACTCTCCTCCCACTCCCCACTCTCCTCCCACTCCCCACTCTCCTCCCACTCCCCACTCTCCTCCCACTCTCCACTCTCCTCCCACTCTCCACTCTCCTCCCACTCTCCACTCTCCTCCCACTCTCCACTCTCCTCCCACTCCCCACTCTCTTCCCACTCTCCACTCTCCTCCCACTCCCCACTCTCTTCCCACTCTCCACTCTCCTCCCACTCTCCACTCTCCTCCCACTCTCCTCTCTCCTCCCACTCTCCACTCTCCTCCCACTCCCCACTCTCCTCCCACTCTCCACTCTCCTCCCACTCCCCACTCTCCTCCCACTCTCCACTCTCCTCCCACTCTCCACTCTCCTCCCACTCTCCACTCTCCTCCCACTCCCCACTCTCCTCCCACTCTCCACTCTCCTCCCACTCCCCACTCTCTTCCCACTCTCCACTCTCCTCCCACTCTCCACTCTCCTCCCACTCTCCACTCTCCTCCCACTCTCCACTCTCCTCCCACTCTCCACTCTCCTCCCACTCCCCACTCTCCTCCCACTCTCCACTCTCCTCCCACTCTCCACTCTCCTCCCACTCTCCACTCTCCTCCCACTCTCCACTCTCCTCCCACTCTCCACTCTCCTCCCACTCTCCACTCTCCTCCCACTCTCCACTCTCCTCCCACTCCCCACTCTCCTCCCACTCTCCACTCTCCTCCCACTCTCCACTCTCCTCCCACTCTCCACTCTCCTCCCACTCCCCACTCTCCTCCCACTCTCCACTCTCCTCCCACTCCCCACTCTCCTCCCACTCTCCACTCTCCTCCCACTCTCCACTCTCCTCCCACTCCCCACTCTCCTCCCACTCTCCACTCTCCTCCCACTCTCCACTCTCCTCCCACTCTCCATTCTCCTCTTACCTCTTCTTCCCACTCTCCTCCCCACGAAAGATGGCTACACGAGGCACGTGCTCCCAGCGGTTGGTGTGGCCGTTTGTGGTGGGCGAGAGGCGCGAGCAGAGGGGGAGGACACTCACTCACATCATATACTGACTCACTCATCATACACTCACTCATATATCATACACTCACTCATACACTCACTCACTCATCATACACTCACACATCATACACTCACTCACTCATCATACACTCACTCACATCATACGCTGACTCACTCATCATACACTCACTCAGACATCATACACTCACTCACATCATACACTCACTCACATCATACACTCACTCACATCATACACTCACTCACTCATCATACACTCACTCACTCACACATCATACACTCACTCACTCACACAGCATACACTCACTCACTCATCATACACTCACTCACACATCATACACTCACTCACTCACACAGCATACACTCACTCATATATCATACACTCACTCATACACTCACTCACTCATCATACACTCACACATCATACACTCACTCACTCATCATACACTCACTCACATCATACGCTGACTCACTCATCATACACTCACTCAGACATCATACACTCACTCACATCATACACTCACTCACATCATACACTCACTCACATCATACACTCACTCACTCATCATACACTCACTCACTCACACATCATACACTCACTCACTCACACAGCATACACTCACTCACTCATCATACACTCACTCACACATCATACACTCACTCACTCACACAGCATACACTCACTCATATATCATACACTCACTCATACACTCACTCACTCATCATACACTCACACATCATACACTCACTCACTCATCATACACTCACTCACATCATACGCTGACTCACTCATCATACACTCACTCAGACATCATACACTCACTCACATCATACACTCACTCACATCATACACTCACTCACATCATACACTCACTCACTCATCATACACTCACTCACTCACACATCATACACTCACTCACTCACACAGCATACACTCACTCACTCATCATACACTCACTCACACATCATACACTCACTCACTCACACAGCATACACTCACTCATATATCATACACTCACTCATACACTCACTCACTCATCATACACTCACACATCATACACTCACTCACTCATCATACACTCACTCACATCATACGCTGACTCACTCATCATACACTCACTCAGACATCATACACTCACTCACATCATACACTCACTCACATCATACACTCACTCACATCATACACTCACTCACTCATCATACACTCACTCACTCACACATCATACACTCACTCACTCACACAGCATACACTCACTCACTCATCATACACTCACTCACACATCATACACTCACTCACTCACACAGCATACACTCACTCATATATCATACACTCACTCATACACTCACTCACTCATCATACACTCACACATCATACACTCACTCACTCATCATACACTCACTCACATCATACGCTGACTCACTCATCATACACTCACTCAGACATCATACACTCACTCACATCATACACTCACTCACTCACATCATACACTCACTCACATCATACACTCACTCACTCATCATACACTCATTCACTCACACATCATACACTCACTCACTCACACAGCATACACTCACTCACTCATCATACACTCACTCACTCACACATCATACACTCACTCACTCACACAGCATACACTCACTCACACATCATACACTCACTCACATCATACACTGACTCACTCATCATACACTCACTCACACATCATGCACTCACTCACTCATCATACACTGACTCACTCACACATCATACACTCACTCACTCACACAGCATACACTCACTCACACATCATACACTCACACATTATACATTCACTCACGTCATACACTCACTCACACATCATACACTCACACATCATACACTCACTCACACATCATACACTCACACATCATACACGACGGCTGCTTGTGTTGTAAATAAAATTCAAGCAAGACAGCTGCTTGTGTTGTGGCCGAAACGTCGTGTGAGAATTTTATTTATATTTGATTATTATTTTATTATTTCCCTTCTAAGTTACTTTACCGAAATAACCAATAATATGAATCCCTGCAGTCACGAAAGCTTTAAATCGAAACGTGAGCTTGGCTTTCATGCGGTAGGAAACCCGAGAAACCCCACAAAGCATGCGAGATGGAGTAACACTCGAAAGCATTGTCTGCCAGGTTGTGCAAGAACAGTGTTTTTGTTAAACACGGGAGGCTTTCGCGACCAATAATAATCGCGCTTTAAACGGCATGCGTTTTTGGGCCATTGTCCAAATCGTGGGCAATATATTTTTCTACTCTCAGGTTTTTTCGGTAAAGTCACCTAGATGAAAAACAATAATAAAAGTATAAAAGTAATAATTATTTTATTTGTATGACATCAACTATTTTATGATTTATTTTTACATATAAATAATAGAAGCAATCCTTTTTTATTTCTATTATTTTATAATTTATTTTTACCTATGTGCCTTTACCGAAAAAACCCAAGAGTATGAATCATTGCAGTCACGAAAGCTTCAAATCTAGAATATATTTTTTTATCCCATTTTTCTAGCGACGAATATGTTGCGCTATTGTACTTGCTTGTATATTTATTCCTAATATAGGTTTTTGGGTCAGATCGCGTTAATTATAAATGTGTCGTAACCCTCCACCACCCGACACAGTAACAGAAAGCGGACGGGGGACGTCAACATGAAAGCACTTAGCACCAAAACATCTATAAAAAAACCTAAAACTAAGAAAGAGACCGTAGAAAACGATCATTTATTTCTATTTTTGTGTTTCTGAATAAGGGAGGCGTCAGGACGAACGGTCGCTAACTGCCTCGGGTCCTAAAAATTATACATTCGGAATCTCTTGATAGCGATTCCGCACGGAGCCAGGGGGGGAACCCCCGAGTCCGTGTGCCAACCAAAGCAAATGCCCTTTTTAATCCTAACGGTGGCGCAGCCGTATACTCATAGGTCCACTCTCTCCCTCTACGCTATGGGGCCCGTTGAGAATTTAAAAGAGAACATTTTTAAACATTTCTAGGTGGGGCCGTGTCAATAACATATGTAGGAATTTACTAGTGGGATGACAAAACTTTTAATTTGTGCGAAGGGAAAGGTATTTTGCATTAATGCAACACAGGAATAGAAGTAGCATCCGGCACGCGGTGCATTGTGGGTGGTGACGTTAATACGTTGGGATGACCGTTCTACCATTCAAGTCCTTTGACTACTTAACGATGACATTTGCTAAGGTGTTAATCGTAATAACTAAGGAATTAAAACGTTCCACAATTGATACCCAAATGGTGTTTAGAGGGGAAGAAAAAAAAACGGACACTAAATTTGTGTTTCAAAAGTCAAGCTTTACTTTGAAACACCTCTAATCAGATATAAATACTCAACACATTCGTTAGAAACACTGCGTTGAAGAGACAAAGTATTTAATCAGCGATTGTTTGGATTACTTGTGCAGTTTTTTTTCTACCGAATGCAATTCCTGCCTATCCTGTCTAGGGAATGTAATGTATTGGTGCGCGTAGCCTTTAGATTTCCCACTACTAACGCGAGATACGGCCCACCGCCATTGGCTAACATCGCCACCACGTGACTGCGATTAACCAATGGGCTCCAAGCCCATGTTGTTATCGGAGTGCGTGGCTTGAGAACGACGCCGCTGACAACGCGATCACGGATCAGTGCAAAAGCCTCGCACGGCGTCTCTCACTACGACCATGTTTACGCGGTTATCTTTTGCTACTCTACAACCACCGCCATTGGGTAGAACCGATTGAAGGCTCCACAGCTGTCGCGCTATAAAGCGGCGGACGGAGCGCGCTTTTGTGACGATGGCGGGAAGTTCGATCGCGAGCCTCGCGCCCAAAATCAATCGATAGGCGCCTCGCCATTGGCTCGCGGTAGAACCCCCTTCCCCCCACCCCCACCATCATCACAAATCAACCACGTGCCCGGCGCGCGACCAATGGGGAGCCGCGAGTGCTCGGCGGGGCGGGCTGCAGCTTTGCAAGGAATGGGGGGGGGGGTGAAGGGGGCGTGGTTTAGAGGGGGGGTGAGAGAGGGGGGGGGTGAGAGGGGGGGGTGTGAGGGGGCGTGGTTTAGAGGGGTGAGAGGGGGGGGCGTGGTTTAGAGGGGGGGGGTGTGAGGGGGCGTGGTTTAAAGGGGGGTTTGTGAGGGGGCGTGGTTTAGAGGGGTGAGAGGGGGGGTGTGTGAGGGGGCGTGGTTTAAGGGGGGGGGGGTGTGAGGGGGGTAATAGGGGGTGGGTTGAGAGGGGGGGGGGTGAAAGAGGGGCAGTGAGAGGGGGAGTGAGAGGGGGCGTTTAAGAGGGGGTGAAAGGGGGGTTCAGAGGGGGAGTGAGACGGGGGTTGAGAGGGGGGTTGAGAGGGGGCGTTAAAGGGGGTGAGACGGGGGGTGAGACGGAGAGTGAGAGGAGGGTTGAGAGGGGGGGTGAGACGGGGAGTGAGAGGGGGGGGGGGTCGTGAAGAACGCTGCTGCTACCGGGCAGTTGGAGGCAGCCGCCCTCCCAACAACAACAACAGCGGAGGGCAGAGGGAGCGACGCTCACAACAAACGAGCGGAGGCGCCCCGGGGTGGATAAAACGCGCAGTTGGCGCACCTGCCAGCCATTCTCAGTCAGTGAACCCCCCACGGCATCTCGTGGGTCTGTCCCGTGAGCCTCCGTCCTGCCAGCAGCGAGACCTTGGGACACTTTCACGTAACGGCCTCAAAAGTGCACCTAGCCTGGCACAGGCGCCGCGGGGTGACGTCACCGGCACTTTAAAGTGGCGAATGTTGTTGGGGGAGGGGGAAGGGCGCAGTGGGAGGGGGTGTAGTGGGGGGAGGGGTAGGGGGGGAGGGAGCGGATTTGGGGTGGGGGTGGAGTGGGGGAGGAAGGGGGGATCCCCCAAACTCCCTCCCCTCCCACCCACTACCCCGCCCCTTCCACCAACTCCCCCGCCCCTCCCCCCCAATCCCCCTGCCCCTCCCCCCACTCCCCCGCCCCTCCCCCCCAATCCCCTGCCCCTCCCCCCACTCCCCCGCCCCTCCCACCCACTACCCCGCCCCTTCCACCAACTCCCCCGCCCCTCCCCCCCATCCCCCCGCCCCTCCCCCCCAATCCCCCTGCCCCTCCCCCCAACCCCCCCGCCCCTCCGCCCAATCCCCCTGCCCCTCCCCCCCAATTCCCCCCGCCCCTCCCCCTCCCCCAACCCCCCCGCCCCTCCCCCCCACTCCCCCGCCCCTCCCCCGCCCCTCCAACCCACTCCCCCGCCCCTCCCCCCCAATTCCCCCTGCCCCTCCCCCCAACCACCCCGCCCCTCCCCCCATCCCCCCGCCCCTCCCCCCCACTCCCCTGCCCCTCCCCCCCACTCCTTCGCCCCTCCCCCCCATCCCCCCGCCCCTCCCCCCAACCCACCCGCCCCTCCCCCCCATCCCCCCGCCCCTCCCCCCAACCCCCCCGCCCCTCCCCCCAACCCCCCCGCCCCTCCCCCCCACTCCCCCGCCCCTCCCCCGCCCCTCCAACCCACTCCCCCGCCCCTCCCCCCCAATTCCCCCTGCCCCTCCCCCCAACCACCCCGCCCCTCCCCCCATCCCCCCGCCCCTCCCCCCCATCCCCCCGCCCCTCCCCCCCACTCCCCCGCCCCTCCCCCCATCCCCCCGCCCCTCCCTCCCACTCCCCTGCCCCTCCCCCCAACCCCCCGCCCCTCCCCCCATACCCCCGCCCCTCCCCCCGGCGGTGGCGGGAGTCGCCGCGATTCGCGCTTCAATCAATTCCGCAGCGAGCGTCTTGCGCGGCGCGCCTCTCCCATTGGCTGGCGGCGCGACCCCGTGACGCCGCTCGGCCAATGGGAGCCGCGCTTGTTGCGCGTGCGGGACTACGGGGATTGCATTCGCGGCCTTGCCGCTACTGCTGCTGCTGCGACCCGCGGGTCGTCGGTGCCTCCACACACACACACAGGGGGTGGTGGTGTTGCTGCTACTGCTACTGGCACCGCTGCGGGCCCTGTTGGACGAGGAGACGGAGGTGGAGGAGGTGGAGGAGGAGGCGGCGGCGCTGCTGAGATGATGGCTCACAGCGCCGTGCGCTCGCGGTTCCCCGCGAGGCCCTGGCGCAGGCACGGGCGGCCGCGCTCGCGGCACCGCGGCCCGGCGGGGGTGGGCGACGCCGTCGGGCAGCAACAACAACAGCAACAACAACAACAGCTGGTGGTGCAGCAGCAACAACAACAACAGCAGCAGCAGCCACCTCGTAGGCGGAACGAGGGCCCGGCCGAGGCGATGGAGCGAGCTCTGCGCGCCTTCAGCGCCTCGTTCGGCTCCAGCAGCGGCGAGGTACGAGCCACTGACCGCCACCAAAACAACAACGACAACAACGACAACAACAACGACAACAACGATAACAACGACAGCAACAACGCCACTTACACGTAGACACACCGCTTAGTGACAGACCGGAGCTGTCATCATCATCATCTTCATCACCATCATCACCATCTTCACATCATCACATCTTCATCATCACCATCTTCATCATCATCACCATCTTCACATCATCATCATCACCATCTTCACATCATCACATCTTTATCATCACCATCTTCATCTTCGGCCGTGGTCTGTCCACTCGTGCTGTATGAAGTCCACTTAGACACACCGCTTAGTGACAGGTTGGAGCTGTCATCATCATCTTCATCATCATCATCTTCATCATCATCTTCATCATCATCATCTTCATATCATCATCTTCATCATCATCTTCATCCGTGGCCTGTCCACTCGTGCTGTATGAAGTCCACTTACACGTAGACACACCGCTTAGTGACAGGTTGGAGCTGTCATCATCATCTTCATCATCTTCATCATCTTCATCATCATCTTCATCCGTGGCCTGTCCACTCGTGCTGTACGAAGCCTTGCCAACGCCGTGTCCTCGTTGTTTGAGAGGAGTTCTCCACGCTGGGCATTGCGGTGTTGGTAAAGGCAGCCGGGGGGTGTTGTTTGGGGCGATTTGACAGACGAAAGAGTGCAGAAGTCCAGGGCAGCGATGGATGTGGCTACTTAGTTTCGTGCAAGGTTTGTTACCCATCCGAGCCAATGTCCAGGCACGACTTTGATTAGCTTCCGCAAGTACAATAAAAAACAACAACAACAATCATCATCACTTCATTAGTGGATGAATGTCTAGCTTCATCCAGCAGTAGATAGACCATGTCCACCCTATCCGTCACTGCCCAGTGCTGTTGCCGTCTTTGTCTTTAATTCCTGATTCTTATTTCCATGTTGCTTTGACCGCCGTTCCGTCACCACAATCTCGGCCAGTGTATTGACATTTTAATATTCGTCAATTAACTACTGACACCTTTATCCCAACAAACTCGGCACGTTAATTCCCCACCGAGCCGATTGCTTCGCTCCATCTCCTCCTCGCTACTACTTCTACTACTACACAAGTCACTTTTCCATGAACTTACTTTAGTTTGTTATTGTTGTTGTTGTTTTAAAACAAACCGACAATGCGACGTCTCTGTATTAATGTGGCGTGTAAATGCGGACAGCTTCTCTCTCAAAGACGCTTTGTTTTTGTTACACTGAAGCCGAGGCGTGTGGGGGGGGGGGGGGTTCGTAACGTGGACAGTAATACATCTTGTAGAGTTTGTTTAGTTCAGTTCTGTAACATATAATGGGGGAAACCAGCTGCTCCTGGCTATGGCCTGTGTCAGTATCGTGTGCGTGTGAATTGGTCATCGTGGTTGCGAGAATGAATGAATAGTGGGGGAATTCATACAAAGTCTGCAGTTTTTGCGGACAGCGATTTGACGAGTTTACAAGCGATCTGGGCTCTGTGATGTCGCTTAGCGATTCTACTGTTAACGATTAAAGTAACGAGGAATCGATTCCAAAACGCGCGTTCTTATCTGGAATCGATTCGTGCTCAGGTTTTTGCACCCGGATCGCCGGGCCTCGATTTGTTTGTCATCACGCATTCACGCGGATCGTGACTTCTACGGTTGTGATCCGTGGATCGCTAGCGGTTGAATCGACGAATCGATGCAAGGCGTCCCAGCAATGGTGCAAATGACAATTGGCAAGTACATTAATAGAGCTTTTTTGTTTTGTTGGGGTTCGATCGCGTAAAATATAAACGTGTCGTTAAACCCGCCACCACCCGACACAACCAATTAGTGAGGGTTGCCCACGTAAACAACGTGCCAATTCGTTACTCGTACGGCAACACCGGTGTTGTTGGAGAGAAAATCCACAACATTTCGTTGAATCTTCTTGGTTCTTTCGGTAAAGTCACGTAGAAGGGAAATGATAAAATAATAAAAATAAAACATAATAAAATATTTTATTATGTACATGCCTAGTGATTGTTGTTAAATAATAAAATGATAAAAATAAAACATAAAATATTTTATTATGTATTTATTATTTTATTATTTCTTTTCTACGTTTTTATTAAGCTTTATTTTTATTATTTTATTATTTCCCTTTTGCGTGACTTTACCGAAAGAACCAAGAAGATGAATCCCTGCAGTCACGAAAGCTTTAAATCGAAATTTCGTTTAATATTTAGGATTTGCTCTCCAACGTACCGGTGTGCTGAACCAGTAACTAACTGGCATGTTTTGCTTACGTGACAAACCTTACTAATTGGCTGTGTCGGGTGGTGGCGGGTTTCACGACACATTTATATATTTACGCGATTACCCCAAAAAAAACCTCTTATATTATACGAATGATATTGGTCGCGAAAGCATACTACTACATGTTAAACTGACGATTGGCAGCCTTATCCACTGCTGGTCGTCTCGTGCGCGAGGTGCCGCGTGGATTGTTGCATCGCAGGATTGTGATATTTCGTTTCAGCAGCGGAATAGCCTTTTCATAAGATGTAAATAATGATGATGATCCACTGATGGATGGAGACCTTCCCACGCTGAGCCGGTAATTAGGGAGTTGTTTGAGCATACTTCACCACGCAGGTCAACGCTGGTTGGTGAAAGGTGGGCCCCGCGCCCCCTCCCAAGGAACCGGTTCAGATAACGCTGGCAACTGATGTTTTTGATCATAGCCGGGGATCGAACTTAGGTGGTCTTGTCTGGAGAACCGTGCATCTTCCTGGTGCCAATGCTCCTCTCCCACATGCCAAGTGATTGTTGTTAACTGCGGTTAGGATGTTACATATCTCTGACCGGTTTAATATCATTTTAAAGTAATTTTTTTGTTACCACGAACTTACTGACAAACCAAGGCAAACATGTCTTCATCGGCCACTGGTCTCATGCTTTATTGTTTAAGTTGTTGTATTTACGTATGGTATGTTGAACTTCTTTCGCACCGTACGTAGCCAACCGTGCTAATCGGAGGTTCCGGAGGAAGTACAACAACCTTAACAACGATACATTGTAACTGTGTTGTGCTTGTGGTGGCGATGGATGTTAAATGTTGTGTTTATTTCAGGTGAACAATGTATCCACGCGTGTGTGTGTGGACATCCCTTTGTCATTCCACTGCTGGATGAGGGGAATCCCCACGCCGTGTTTGTCACCGGGGTTATTTGACCATATTTCACCGCGCTGGCCATTGCGGGTAGAATTTGACGGGGAGCATGGACTGTAGATGCTTCGAAGTGGGGTACAACAATTATTGTTTTCCCGCATTCAACATAAACCTGCCATCAGGATGTTAACTCCCTCTCCTGGTAAGCAGGGCGTCGTGGGTTCGATCCCGACCCTGACGCCTGTATATTTGGAGTTTGTGTGGTTTTACCCCATGGTCGCGTGTATATTTTTCTCCGGGTCCTCCGGTTTTTCACTCCGCATTTAGAAACGCGCGTTTAGAGTATTTGGCCGCTATACATTTCCACATGATAAGCCACTTTGTTGAGCCGTCATTTGTGGCCAGGTCGCTTCTGAAAAAGTTCTATACAGCTCAGTGGGCCTTAGCTGGACATTTTTACAATATTTTTTAGTTTAACTTGTTTCCATTGTTTAGTTCAGCTCACAGTCCACGCTCACAGAGCCGTCATTTGAGAACTCGCATTTCACTTTTTATTTGTAGTTGAGTTCACGCTGCGGTTGCACTTTGTATACGTTCTGTTAAAGTTGTGTTCACAGTGAGCTTAAATTGCATTTGCGCGGCAATTCCGTTTCACCGTATGGGCGGTGGATGTTCTCATTGCTTTCTTTTCTTTTGCTGCCACCGTCGTTTCTCTCCCAAGGCCACCACCGGCCATCGTCCCTCCTGGCAACCTGTCAATATGATGTCTTCAACCTACATTAAGCATTTATTTATCTCTATTCAACGCGTTCTACTTTCTCTCAATTCCAGGCAGGCATCTCTGGCATGCTTCTTCAGCTTGTGTTATATTATGTTCCTTTTCCATTGTCAATGTCCATGTTTTTTATACAAAAAAAAAACACTTTCCTCTTTAAGCACATTTGGTCTGTTGCCTTTCATTATCAAGTTCTTTTTTAAATAAAGAGGCAGATGATAGCAGCTTGGAGTGCTTTTGGAAAAGTGGACCTTGACACAAACACCTCTCAAATGGGTTATCGCGCATAGTCTAGCTACGAGGTCGTTTGTGATTCAAAAAGATTTGCTGCAACGAATTAACTTGGAGCATTACTGTTTATGCAGGACCTGGTTCTTTGTTTACCCAATGTGTGTGGTATTATATAAACCTGGATAAGTAAAAGGACATTGTTCCACGATACATTGAGAGTTTATCGTATTTTTTATGTAAACTGGATGAGAGTTTGTAAGAGTGACAGAAAAACCCAGTGTGTATTGGAGTTCACAGTGTCTGTGCGCTTAAACGAACACGGGGCTCTATATACATTACCATTGGCAGCCATGAGCCAGCGGTGCACAATTCCACACTACTATGGCAGGTGTCAGAATGGCCATTAAACAGCAGTCACGAAACCTTGGTCGAAAGTTTAAAAGGTTCTTATAGCTTTGAAAGAAAAGGCTTATTTATAGAATGATTAAGTTGTTTAACACAAAACTGAATGGACCATCACCATTCCAGCATGGGTGAAAAAAGTCAGTTCATCTTAGCGCCTTCCGACACCGTGGTATTTGTACGCGCATTTCTCGTCAAGAAAGGTGGACATTATTATTTCCACGTGAATCACAGTGCCGATTGGTTACCATACCGTGCGCAAGTAAATCGCCGCTTCATGATGGTAGGAGCGATTGCCCGCGCCTTTCATTGAAACGCGAGTCCATTTTTGGACACCGTGGCCATTTGTGAGCAAAAAGCCTCGCGCAATTTGATGAAAAACTTGGAAGAGAAATTTCCGATTACGCGGTGACTCATCAACGGTTAAGAGTGTAATTTGTCAGCACGTGGTGGCGAGGTGACTCATGCCCTTGTGCCTCAAAAAATGCCATTCGCAATAGTGCAGAGAACCCTAAATTTCGATTTAAAGCTTTCGTGACTGCAGGGATTCATCTTCTTGGTTCTTTCTTCTCGACAGACCTGTTCTCCACCTGAGGACGGCTGCTTGCGTTGTGGCCGAAACGTCGTGAGCATTATTTTATTATGTTTTATTTTTATTATTTTATTATTTCCATTCTACGTGACTTTACCGAAAGAACCAAGAAGATGCAGAGAACTCCTTTGCGGAACCCCGCTTCTAACATGACCAAGTGGTGTTCGGCCTATGGAGAAAGTCGCCACTACCACCATAGCAATGTGGAATTATTGACATTACTCGGGGCTGCTCGTGCAGACGCTTGCTGCCGCCCCCCACGCTTGTTCGACGAGGTAATTCACGAGAAAGATTTGCCAGGCGCGTAACAGTAATTAAATCCGTCGTTCAAAATCAGTTCCTGCCACGCAAGGTACGCGTGTCGAACCAAACACGTGGGCATCGATGTAAACACAAAGGTTTTAGCGCATTCGAGTAATTTGCTCATGTTACATTTTTGGTATTCGGTGAACAAAATGTGCAAATCGGAAACGGGACACGGTATAAAGAAGGCCAAAAGCAAACTAATTTAATCTTTGTTTACTTCCCCCTCAATTGTATTGTCGCTGTACACCCCAGGGGGTTGGGATTTTATTTTTACAAATCTGCATGATCCATAATACAGTTTTTTTTGGGTTAGATCGCATCATTATATAAATGTGTCATTAAACCCGCCACCACCCGAGAGCCAATTAGTAAGGGTTGTCACGTAAACAGAACATGCCAATTCGTCACTAGTACAGCACACCGGCTGATATTGGATGATATTGGTCGAGAAAGACTACGTGTTAATCTAGATTTGAAGCTTTTGTGACTGCAAGGATTCATACTCTTAGATTTTTTTGGTAAAGTCACGTAGGTAAAAATAATTAAAAAAATAATAAAAATAATAGAAATAAAATAATAAATCACGACGTTTCGGAGGCAACACAAGTCTCCGTCATCAGGTGGGACCGTCACAGCTAAATTTACTGTATCACTGGATACAGTATCACTTGAAACGTCGTGATTTATTATTTTATTTCTATTATTATTTCTATTTTTTTTTACCTACGTGACTTTACCGAAAGAACTTAAGAGTACGTGTTAATCTGCATAATCTGCTAACCCTTGCATCCTGAGCACTGGATCACAACCACACCTGTCAAATTTTGGCTGAATTAGTGATGGCCTTGGGTTTAATGCCACTTGTCAAGTGGCGATATCGCAAAATTTTTCGTGCAGAAACCTCTTTCCGACTGTCTCTTACTGCAGTCCATCGCTTGTCCAACCTCAAACTAAAGTTTGTTTTTTGCGGTTTTTAACCTTGTTCAATTTTCGGTTTATGAACGGAGCGGTCTTAAAGGAATGCACGGCTCTACAAAACCACACGGCTGTTTCCTGCCACGTTCTTGAGCGAAAATTCCAAGTTGCTTACCTCCTTTTCCACTGTCAAATTCGTAGCATTCTCCACGTGCACCTATGTTCAACACCCTACAGAGTTCCATCATCTGGCTGTAGGTTTTCCCTTTGTTGTACTCTGCATGTTTACTTGCATTGCCTTTCTATGTTAGCTGCCCTCCTCCTCTTACTCACCTGGGTGGATTGCAGGTGTAGAGTGGTCGAGACTCTTGATTGTAAGGCTAGGCATGCAAAGATTAATTTAATGAATAAATACATATGCATAGAATCATGCATTTGAGAATTGGTTATTTATCACAAGTGATTTTTTTTATGTTGGCTTATCAGGACTATGTGTGATTACAATACAAGGAACAGAACAAATACAATAGACGGTGCAGGTGGGACAGAATAGACGAGACACGACCGTATTTGTATGTATGTTTAACTTCTTTCGCACCGTACATAACCACCCGTGCTAAACGGAGGTGAAATTGCCAACAGTAAAAATGAGTACATTGAGACACAATGAAGGTGAGATGGACAGGACAGATGAAACGCCACAAACAAGGCACCAATTACAGTACAATGAGAGTACAAATGAGACCTATGAACGAGATAGACAGGACAAATGAAATGCCACACAAGGTGGCATCGCATTACAATGACATGTTACAAATGAGATGAAAAAATAACTCTTGATACAAGTCCTGTTCCCGAAGGCAATTTACCGTACCACACCAACACAAAAGGTGCCGATCGTTCCACATCTAGGAAACGTTGCCATTGAGCTCTTTTTTTTAAACTTCTTTTTTGTGTTCAGTTTTGTTGTCCATCCACCGCACCTCCAATTAGCACGGTTGGCTACGTACGCTGCAAAAGAAGTTCAACATACACACAATCATGCCGTTTACAATATGAGACCTCCTTTACCAGTGGCAAAATATAGTAGTAGGTTTTTACCCTTTAAACTGGTACAAAACTGACACCTTTATACAAGGCATCATGTTTGCATGATGCCTTGTACTATATTTTGCCACTGGTAAAGGAGGTCTCATAGTGTAAATGCTTACCCCGAGCTCTCAATACTCTGATAGTGCACTGTTTTTGAGTTGTATGCCTTTTGGCGTCATCTGGTCGAACACCAATGGAGACTAGGCTCTAAGGAAAGCTGTCTCGGGTGTGGACCAATCAATTTCAAGGACAGTGCATATCATTACCATTATCAGAGTTGTTTCTTCTTGTTTGTATTTTGACTGCTTGTGTTGCGGTTATTGCAAACATGATGCCTTGTATAAAGGTGTCAGTTTTGTACCAGTTTAAAGGGTAAAAAGCTACTACTAAATCATAACGTTGTTGTTTTTTTTGGTTGCAGGAGGAGGACTTCCAAGGTTTTCCCAAAAACGACGCAAGCAAGCGCAGCGCTCGCCGCCGGCCCAGCCCCGCACCGTCGCCGGGCCGACCACGAGGCAAGTGCCACCGTCACGGTTCATCATCGCCGCGTCGGCAATGCTTAGAAGTATCTTCTTGGTTCTTTCGGTAAAGTCACGTAGAATGGAAATAATATAATAAAAATAAAACATAATAAAATAACATATTATATTATATTACCGAAAGAACCAAGAAGATGAAACCCTGCGGTCATGAAAGCTTTAAATCGAAATTTAATGCTTAGAAGCCTGGCTACGAACCCTGGTTTGTGTCGGCTCGTGATTAAACGGCACCTCCGATTAGCAAGGTTGGCCACGCACGGCGCGAAATAAATTCTACCTGCGTTCGTGCATACAAAGCGGATATATCTTGTTGGTTCTTTCGGTAAAGTCACGTAGAAGGGAAATAATAAAATAATAAAAATAAAACATAATAAAATAATTCTCACGACGTTTCGGCCACAACGCAAGCAGCCATCCTCAGGTGAAGAACAGGTCTGTCGAGAAGACAGACCTGTTCTTCCAGGATTTGAATCCACATACTCTGTATTCTAGTCAGCTGAGGACGTCTGCTTGTGTTGTGGTCGAAACGTCCTGAGAATTATTTTATTATGTTTTATTTTTATTATTTTATTATTTCTATTCTACGTGACTTTACCGAAAGAACCAAGAAGATCAACCCCTGCAGTCACGAAAGCTTTAAATCGAAAAAAAAGCGGATATAGTTCACAGTTGTTTATCGCCGCGACGACCGTCTGGAACGCTCTGTCATCCGGCATTAGGAAGCCGCTGGAGCTATCCACTTTTAAATCTCGATTAAAAACTAACTTCTTTAGAGCAGTTTTATGTGTTTAGTTTGTTGTCCTTCCTCTGCACCTTTAATGAACGCGTTTAACTACGTAGGGTGCGAAAGAAGTTGAACATACATACAAACCGGATATAGCCCTCTGATGTGTTTTGTGGGTTTCACTGCGGGCTGTTCAGCGTGGGGTCCGCTGTTTCACTCCATGTGCTTGCTGGGAGACTCTTTGGTAACTGGAGCAGCTCATGTTCGCCCTCGGTTGCGAGCGCCCACCACGTGGTGCGTGATGCCGAACAGCATGTGGTACAACTCAGAATGACATCAGAGAGCTGTACTAGTACAACTACGAAAACCTATGATGTAGCGGTATTTCTTTCTCACTGTACATTGCCAACCGTGTTAATCGGAGGTGCGGTTTAATCACGAGCTGACACAAACCAGGACTTGAAGCGAGGATTCTAAGCATTGCCGAATTTGCGCTACGTACAGCAGCAGTATTTAGGCATCGTCATGCGGTGATTACGATCGATTTTTTAAATCCTTTATATTAAGTTCGCGTGCTTGCTTGCTTGCTTAGGACCGTGCAAATCTTTCGGTCGTTTTTTAACCCACTTCCCGTGATCCAATCGAGCTGACATTTTCCACACAGACTCGTTGTGCCAGACAATTATTGTTCGTGAAAAAAAATTCCCAAAATTTTACACTTTTTAGGCAAAAAAAAAATATTTTACATATTTTCAAATAGAACGCATTCATGGCTTTGGCTGAACGTCAGAGTGTAAGAGCCCAGAGCGTAACCCCTCCACAGGCCGTGGTGGAGTAGCGCAGTTGGTAGCGCCCTCGCTTCCCATGCCAAAGGTCGCGGGATCGATCCCCGCGTCCTCCACAGGCGAATATATTTTTAAATCCTTTATATTAAGTTCGCTTGCTTGCTTAGGACCGTGCAAATCTTTCGCTCGTTTTTTAACCCACTTCCCGTGATCCAATCGAGCTGACATTTTCCACACAGACTCGTTCTGTGTGACAATTAATTTTCGTGACATTTTTTTTCCAAAATTTTACACTGTTTAGGGAAAACAAATTAAATATTTAATTACCAATTGCTTAATGGTGCAATGCAATCATCTGACCCATAGATTGCAGCCATCTCAAGCCAGAGGACGAGAGAACTCTAGCCGCCACGCATATAAAGGATTTAGAGTGAAAAACTTAGTTTTTACGGGTTTACTTGTTATGCATCACATTGTGCGAGTGGGAATGGGTATGAAATGTACACGCAAACGATGTGCTAATCATACATTGATGCCAGTTGTGCGAACAAAACTGCAGGTAAGAACGAGACGGTGAAAATAGACTAAACAGAATTGTTCCTTGCGTCGAATCGCGACCCTGACCCGTGACAAATAATCGACGCCGGTTCAGGCGGAACTCTGGTGTGACGACGGTATCCCAACTTCCTTTTCCTTCCTCTTCCCACGAAGGCCGCCCCCCGCGTAGCGGCTCCGACGAGCGCTCCCCGGAATCCCGCCGCCGCAGGGCGACCTCCTCGGCTCCGTCCAACGCCACCACCCCGGGCCTGGCGTCGCCCTGGCTCCACCTCGACCTCAACCCCGTGGTTGACCTCTCACCCGTAGGGCGCAAGCACGGCCGTGGGAAGCCACGCTCTGAGAGCCGCCGCTTGCGTGAGTCTGCATCGCCGCCCGTGCCGCCCCGACCGCCGACGTCTTCTTCATCTCTGGCGTCGGAGCAGCAACGGCCGCGGGAGTCGGTGCCGGAAGTGGAGGAGGAGGCGGGGGAGGAGGAGGGGGAGGAGGGGGCAGAGGAGGGGGCGGAGGAGGCGGGCGAGGAGGAGGAGGAGGAGGTGGAGGAGGCGGAGGGTCGGCGCTTGTCCAAGCGGCGCGAACGCGAACGGCGCAAACGGAAGAAGCGGTCGGCGGCGGAGAAGAGGGCGGAGAAATCACGCGGGAAGCGGAAACGGAAGAAAAAGAAGCAGCAGCAAAAGAAGCAAGAGAAGCAGCAACAGCAGCAGCAGCAGCAGCAACAGGACGAGGAGGAGCGCAAGCGGGAGGCAGAAGCAGAGCAGCAGCCGTCGCTGGAGAAACGAACATCGGTGGAAAACAACAGCGGCATCGCTGCCGAGGACGTGGCCATGTCGGACGATTCCATCGCCGGCGGCTCCCGGGCGCAGGCCGAGGTCCCGCTGGCGCCGGTAGCAGCGGCGTCTGTACTGGAAGTCCCGGTAAGAGACGCTAGCGAGGACGGTGCCAGGGCGTCCCGGCCACGCGGTCGCCCGCCGTCGACGAGCCGGGAAAGCGACGGCGTCCTGGCCAAGCGCAAGCAGCGCGTTGATGCCAGCCTCGCGCGCCAGCTGCTGCAACGAGCCAAGAAGCGTGGGCGCGGGGGAATGGGGGGCGCCGTTGTCATCAAGCCGGGCAGCGGAGGCCGGAGGACAGCTGTGGCGTCGGCAGCCGTGGCTGTGGGAGGAGGACGCCGGGCGGGACGGCCCCTGCCCGTCGGAGTGAGGCCAAGCGGCAGCTTGGGCCGGGGCGGGCGGAGGGAGCGGTCGCGCGTGGGCCGGCGCTTCGTGATGCCGGCCGTAAGCTCGCGCTCCTCCCGCGTGATCCGCACGCCCAAGAGGTTCATCCAGGACGAGGGGTTTGACGCGGCTGTAGCGGCGGCGGTGGCGGCGCCGTCTCCGTCTTTGTCGGCGCAGGCGTCCATGGCGCACCATCACCACCACCACCATAACCACAATCATCACCAGCAGCAGCCACAGCAGCACAGGCATGTGCAGGGAGGCCCCGGCATTGGCAGCCGTGGGCGCCAACGCGGGTCAGTGACCTCGACCACGTCTTCCTCGCCCTCGTCGGAGTCGTGTGACTCTGACAGCCAGTCGGGCGAGGAGGAGGAGGAGGAGGAAGGGGAAGAAGATGAGGAGGAGGATGACGAGGAAGATGAGGAGGAGGAGATCGAGGAGGAGGAGGAAGACGACGATGAGGAAGAGGAGGAAGAGGAGGAAGAGGAGTCCCAGAATTCCTCGGGCTCGGCTTCACGGTCCGACAGCCCTGGGGGGTCGTCCGAAGGCTCTGACTCGGAGCGCCGGCTCGGAGAGCTAGGCTCTGCCGAGCGCGCCGCACCGCCCATGATGCTCAACGGCGAGCGCCGGCTGGGCTCGTTGGGGCAGACTTTGTCCCACGCGCTGGGGCCCACGGGGGCACCGCCGACAGCGGCGGCGGCGCCCCAGCTACTCACGACGTGGGTTTACCCGCACGCTCACCCCCACCCGCACACCCTGCCCATGCTTGTCCCGCCACCCGCTCGCGCCGCATGCGCCGCGGCCGGCGCCGGCGCCGCCGCGGGCACCGCCCGCCGCTCTATCCTGCGCGAGCCGACGTTCCGCTGGGGCCCGGTGGCACCGCCGGGCTCGGCGTCTGCGCCCGCGGGCGTGCCGGACGGACGCCAGCAGCCGTCGTTCTCCTCTGCTAAGTACGCCAAGGCCGGCCTCATCCGCCAGCCCGTCTTCGACAACATCCGCCTGCCGCCACTCACGCCGGAGGAGGTCGGGCTGGCGCCGCCGCGGCCCGGCCTGGCCGCCAAGTCGGCCTCGTCGGCCTCGTCGTCGACGGCGGCGGCGTCGGCGGCGTCGGCGGGTGCCCGCCCCGGCCGCTTCTCGTGCTCGCCGGCGGTGGCGTGCGGCCCCGGACCGGCGCTGCTGGCGCCGGTATCGTCTCAGCCGCCCCCGTTCGCCCCCGTCGCCGCAGGGCTCTCGTCGCCGTCGTCGGCCTCCTCGTCGACCTCATCGTCGGCGTCGTCGGCGGCGGCTGCCACGGTAGCGCCGGCCACGCTGGTGGCGCCGGGGCGACCGTTCCCGCCGTCGGGGGTCGCCGCCGCCAACCTGCCCGCCGCGTGCAGGTTTCCCGCTCAGCGTCAGTTCGCGGCGCGTCAGAGGTTCGACACCGGCGCCACGACGGCGACGGCGGTGCAGCCAGCGTCCCCGGCAAGCGCCGGGCGGCGACCGCTGCTACGCGCGCCCACGTTCACGCCCACAGAAGCTCACCTTCGCATCTACGAGTCGCTGTCGGCCGCCTGCGCGCCCCAGCGCCCGTCTGGCGAGCCGGCCCGGCCGCTGTGCCTCCAGCACGGCTCCCCGGCCGCTTCCACCGCCGTCGCCAGCGCCAGGCGCAAGCGGCCGTTTTCCGGTGGACGCGGCGGGCGCGGCGGATCCAGGTCCCCGTCGTTGTCGCGGGTCCCCACGCACGGCATGAGAACGCGCAGCAGCCGAGCGGCGGCCCTCACCGGCGCTCTGTCTCCTTCCTCCTCGCCGGCTACGACTCCCGGGGGCACCGGCGGATTGCTGGCGCCGCAGTCGCTGTTCCGGCCCGACAGACGCCAGCGGCAGCAGTGGGGGAACGACGGCGGCGGAGCCGGCGATGCCCTAGCAGCGGTGCCGTGCGGCTCTGGGTTCGACGGCGCCCCTCAACCGGACGGGGCGGCCGTGGCAAGCGCCGGCGCCGACTCGGCCGCGGTTGGGGGGCTCCTGGCTCGCATCGGCCGCGTGCCAGCATTTGGTGACCTCCTGCCCCCAGCCGAACGGCACAAGCGTCTGCAGAGGCGCCAGCGCGACGGCGAGGAAGAGCAAGAAGAGCAAGAAGAAGAGGAGGAGGAGGATGGTGGCAGCAGCACAGCGAGGAAGCGTAAGAAAAAGATGAAGAGGAAAGGCAAAACAATGCTGATGATGATGCGGCGTAGGAGGCAGAGGGGCGCCGGTTCTGAGAGCGAGGCGCAGGACCCCGATGCCGCTGCCGACGCATCGGCGCAAAAGCCCCTGGTGTCCCCGGAGGTGACCGCCGAGGAGGCGGAGGCCGTGAAGACGCGCGCCTCCGCCAAGCGCCAGCGAGAGAGGGCGGCCGGCGGGCAGAGGCAGCAGCGGCAGCAAGGGCAGCGGCGCGCGGAACGCTCAGACGACGATAACAACGATGACGGTGACGACGGTGAGCCCGGCGACCACGACGAGCCGGGGAAGGGGGAAGAGGACGGCGCGGGACAGAGGGAGCGGCCGCCGAGGCAGACGGCGGACCGCAAGCTGCGCACGCTGCTGCAGAAGGCGCGGGCGCAGCTCCATCGCATCGAGAGGGGCAAGGCTCGACGGGCACAGGTGTGTGGTGGCGCCGTCGGCAGCTCTCGTCTTGACGGCCCATGTCGTTCACCCCTCCCCCCCACCCCCCTTGCCTGTAACGTCGTCTTGAGGCATCGTCTGCGCCTGCTCGTTGCGGTGCTCTGTAATCTCCATAATATAGGTTTTGTGGGTTAGATCGCGTGAATATAAATGTGTCGTAAAACCCGCCACCACCCGACACGGTTTGTCACGTCAGATTTTGTCACGTAAACAGAACACGCCAATTGAATTGACGCCTGATGAAGGTCGTTATAATTACTGCCGAACGTCGTACTCAGATTGTAAATGTTGTGGATGTGTACTAGTAACGAATTGACATGTTCTGTTTACGTGACAAACCTTACTAATTTGCTGTGTCGGGTGGTGGCGGGTTTAACGACACATTTATATTCACGCGATCTAACCCAAAAATGCCTATTTTATGGATGATATTGGTGACGAAAGCCTACGTGATAAGCTCTATTTAACGCGTCCTTATCAAAATCGAGTTGTCATAGCCAAAGCCGTCGATGCCACCACCGCAACATCGCCAATGCTTTTTGGCCTCCGTCAGATGCTGCTGCTGCTGCACAGTAAACGTGCGGCCTCCCAGGAATGCCCTCGAAGTATCCCACCATCAGGTGGTTGTTGTAGCTTGCTGACCCACCCCGACTGGACATGTGTGAAAAAGAGCTTCACGGCTCATCGGATTTCTGCAGTCAAAAAAAAAAGATCACTCATTCTGAGATGAAGAAGAGTAAGATGTTGGGAAGGCCATTGCTCGCCAGTTAACAGCTTAGAAATATTGCATATATTATACAAATACTGTACAAGTTTATTGTGGGTGCAGTTATTAGTGGTACTAGCGCTATTAGCCAGTTGCCCAAGTTCTATTACCAGTGTGCTAACCCCTGCGCCACAGCTCCCCACATTTAACCATAAAGAGAAAGATCCACTGTGTATAGCCTCAACAGACTGTTGGGGCAAGTGCTGTTAGTGAGCACCTATGAAAACCGGCACGGCACCCAATGGGGTGGGTGGCCAGCACCACGCCCAGCCGCCTTTGTCTCCCTAGTGGCGATGTATATGTACCGCACTAGGTACTTATTTGAGGCTGAGTCGACCTGGGGGAGGCCCAGGACCAATTCAGATGGTCGCCACTGATGTTGATCGTGAGCGGGACTCGGGTCGCCGAGTTCGTCACGCAAGTGCGCTAACCGCTATACCACCGCTTCCCACAAGTGGAAGAAAGGGTTACCAGGATAAATTAAAACTCACATACGAGATAGGGTTGCCAGGATAAATTAAAACCCACGTACGAGTAAAGATCAATATTGGTCGATGACTCGTAGCATTGTTGCACAGTGACGGTACGACTGATGCAATTCCACCGGTTCACATATTCGCCATTGTTGTTGGTCGTAAGCGGTAATCGAACTCGGGTCGCCGGGTTCGTTGCGCAGCGTGCTAAACACCACACCACCGCCCCCACCACAAACAAAAGACTAACGCACGCACGCACCTGGTGGAACGGTCCACCGCACAAGCCGAGTACTGCCGATGCTGAAGCTGTGCCCTGTGGTGCCGCTGAAGGCGACAGGGGCTGAAACTCCTGCCGCGACAGCAGCCGGCGCGTGGAACCACCGCGAGAGGCCGTCCCGCAAGCGCAAGCGGCACGCCCCGCCAGAGAGCGGGCCGTCAACGGCGCGGGAGGTGAGGCCACCCAGAAGCTCCCGAAATATATATTTTTTCTCCCAATTTTATCCCAATCGTGCTATCGGCGCCACGTCCCGAGATGGACAATTCACGAGGATGTCGTGAAGGGAAGCCGTTCTCTGCTTCCCGTTACCTACCGCTCGCTCTGTCACAGTTGCCTGGCTCATGACATTATATTAGTGTCGGTCTCGTGACATTATGGCAATAGGCGCAGTCTCTATTTAATTTGGGGAACAGACAAAAATAATCATAGAATACATGAATTGACGTGGGTGTAATTGAGTAGTTCAAAATAACGCATCACTTGAAGGTGGCCGGGTCTCTCAGGATGCTGATGATGAGACAGAGTAGGCACCAATGAGATGCACTGCTGGAATACAGGGTTTGAATCTGGGTTCTAGATTTGAAGCTTTCGTGACTGCAATGATTCATACTCTTAGTTTTTTCGGTAAAGTCACGTAGGTAAAAAATGTTACTAAAATTAATTAAAAAAAAATAATAAAAATCACGACGTTTCGGAGGCAACACAAGTCTCCGTCATCAGGTGGGACCGTCACAGCCAGATTTGCTGTTACAGCAATTTTATTATTTTATTTTTATTAATTTTGATTTCATTTGTTACCTACGTGACTTTACCGAAAAAACTAAGAGTTTGAATCTGGGTGTTCGTGGGTACTCAAGCGTCGTGCGTTGTTGGTCTCTGTCCGATCGGCAGTGACTGCCCTAAAAATAAATACCATCACATTCATCATCATCGTCATCGTCATCATCACGATCCATGGGCAGATATCCCGTAGGTGTCCACTGCACATTTCGTAATTTATTTCCATTTTCCTGTCTTTTGCCAATATGCTCAAGTAGTGCCACATTTTTCCGGCACCAATCTCTTATGTCGTCTTCAAGCCATTCCCTGTGAGGTCCTTCCATATTTCCAAACAACACACTTTGAATTTCCTGTTGTTGTACATCCTACATATCTGTCCAAATAGTGGCAGTTTCACCATGACATAAAATCGTATTAAATTTTGATTGTCACCCTTCATCAGCCTACGTCGGCTCGGCGGACCCAAAAATAAGAAAAACTCTGCGATTGTTTGCGGAGTGAATGTTTGACTGATATCTTGGATGGTGTCGCACACGATCGCTCGCTGGCGCACACAGCACAGCGACAACTCGTCGGAGGGCCCCGCCGAGCCGGGTGGAGCTCGCGGCCCGCGCATCAAACACGTGTGCCGCGGGGCCGCCGTGGCCCTGGGCCTCCCGCGCGCTCTGCTCCTGAGCGCTCACCCGACCAACGGCTCAGCCGGCGCCGCCGGATCCACCACCAACGCTGGCCTCCCGCCTGCACCCGTGGCCGAGGGCAGGCGCAGCGGTGGCGCTGGTAAGGGATGGGTGGATGCGTGGCAGTGTTCAATTCGAGTCAACAAGACTATCTTTCACTGCTTGAGAATATTGGCACAAGACAGAGGAAAGTGGAAACAAATGCCGAAATGTACAGTGAACACCTATGGGGCTCTCTGCCCATGGATCGTGATGATGATGATGAGACTATCTTTCGCCGGATAGACGAAGCGAATGACTGAATGAAATCCAGAGAGAGATAACAACTGGACTTAGACTATGGCTATAGCAGGATTTGGTGACTAAATACCGGTGGGTATGTGGGTGAGTTGATGGGTGGGGGGGGATTTATCCTGGGTTTCTGGTCTATGCGCCAAGCGCGAGAACGGCATGTGATGTCATCTTGCCATGCGCGTCTCCGATGATGTCATTACAAGCATCCCGAATCCAGAATCAGAATATTTATTTATTGATACTGGAGGAATCCGATGAGCTATGAAGCTCATTTTTACAGATGTCCTTTAGGGGCGGGTCAGAATGTGACAACCAAAAACAATACAAAAAACAGCATAGGAAAGGTAAACACATCTATACAAATGAAATTAAACTATTTTTATTTTACCAGTTAAAGCCCACTGAGCTGGTAGCTTCCTTTTCAGAAGCGACCTGGCCACAAATGATAGCTCAACGAAGTGGCTTATCGCCATGTGGACATTTCGAGCAGCAAAATAATCCAAACGCGTGATGTTGATTTCTCAACGTGGAGGGAGAAATCGGAGGACCCGATTCTGGCCAGTCTTGCTCTCTTGCTTTCTTTGCCACCTAATCCCCCCCCTCCTTCACCAGCCTGGACTGCCCAGTATGGTGAAGTATGGTCAAAACTCCCTTTTAACTGACATGGTGTGGGGGAAAGCCTTCCAGCTCCTGGTCTATTGAGAATGGCTGTCAAATTTTACGTTTGATCATTTGAATTGCATTTCTGGTTAATTAAATGTATATGCGATTACCACCAAAGACATTTGACTTTCACTTCATAGCAATGGAATAAATGTTTTGGAATTTACTGACAACGCAATTTAATGACTAAACAGTGGGGATGAATGCCAAGGTTCACTGGACGTGTACATTTTGACGCTAACAATTGACTTAGTTTATCTCTAAATTTAATATAAAAAAAAATCCGAAAGAGCTAGAAAGCACGAGCAGAGCACGTGACATCAATGGAGGATTCCCGAATTCCATACAACAGGTAAATACAGTAAGTTTATATATCTTGAGAACCGCTGGTGCACGTACACATCTTGTTGCCTATTGCGTGCAGCTTCATTAGCGAACAGTGGTCTGATCACGGCTTTTTTTGATTCCTTATATTTTGAATGCCTGAATCCGGCTTCGAGAAGTCGTACAGCAAGTCTGTCGTATCGGCTCTGCTACCTTGTTTGTACTTTTTGTCTTGGTGCCATTTTTGTATTTGTTTATTCATTTCTTATTTTGCTTGGTAGTTGTAGGGTTTTCATTTGCTTGGCAGTGGCTGTATATGGGATTTGGTCCTTATATATAAATTAATGTACGGCGTTGTGGGATGATATTAGCATGAATGACGCTATACAAAATGAAAGTATTATTAGTTGCAGGCTACTGTGTGTCGCAAGCCTTTGGGCCCTCGTTTGACAATCACGATAAAAATCCCATGGAGCCACGCGGCACGCTCACCGACGATTCTCTCCCCGCAGACGCTGTGAAGGCTTCGGACGGCGTTGGCGGTGGTGCCGCCACCGCCGGCTCCGCCTCCGCGGACGAGAGGCAGGCGTCATCAAGAGAGGCCGGCTCTCTGACCCCGCGCGTGACCCTCACGCCGTGCGACTCGGTGCACCGCGGCAGTGCACCGCTCTCCTGTTCCGCGGTACGCCGTGCCGCTCTCTGCCAGCTGTCGTTCGCTCGCTCGCTCGCCCCGACGTCCGCTTCTCGGCGGCTCAATCGGGCTCGGAGCTTAGTAGAGTTTGCCGCGGCATGGCGATATTGTGCAACATCGCATAGTATAACGGTTCCCCGCAGTCGATCAGCAAGTCGCGTGGCAGAGGGTGAAGTGTGTGTACCCAGGACGTCTGACCAACGTGGCAGAGTAGGCCAAAACACCTGCTCAGAGGGCTCTCTAAAGCCCTATTTAGTTGCGTAAGCAATAAACTACAGGGCTGCACTTGTGTGTGTGTGTACATATTGTTTTACACACCACCAGCCTTACCTGCCCTGCAGAAAATACCCTATAAGCAGCCCTGCCCCTCAGCGGACGTCACCTGTCACCGCCATCCGAACGAATACATTGTAAGGTCACAGTCATTACGCACAAAGTGCTTGCCACAATTGAACCACGATACTTTGCTGACCTCGTCAAGGAGAATAAAACACCACGCGAATTCAGGTCATCCTCGCAGCAGCGGCTTTTGGCAGACCCATCGAACAAAGACGATCACCGCTTTGCGCTTTCAGATTCTGCGGCCGTCTGGAACGCTCTTCCTTCGGATATTAGGAAATCACTGGAGCTATGCACTTTGAAATCATCTAGATGGACAAATTCAATTCTTCAGAACTATTTTCAGCATATAGTTGTCCTTCCCCCGCACCTCCAATTAGCACGGTTGGCTACGTACAGTGCGAAAGCAGTTCAACTTATGTACGCGCAAACATCCCCGTCCATCCCCTCCCAACAGGCATCCGAATCGCCCTCCTCAAGGGTCGCCGAGTCCACAGTCAACGAGGCTGCTCAGCAGCCGGCGTCGTCCGCGTCCCCGCACGGCCCGGCCCCTCCCACCGCCGCCACCGCCGTCGCCGCGCCCCCCGCTCTGGTTTCCATGCCGGCGGCAGCGGGGGCGGCATCGGCGGCCGCTCAGCCCGCGGCAGCCCCCCCAGCGCCAGGGCCGTGCAGAGGCAGCGGTGGTCGGCGCACGGCGATGAGGAGGCTGCGCCGTTCGCGCCGATGCGGGGAGTGCGACGGCTGCCGGGTGGAGGCCGACTGCGGCGAGTGCGCCAACTGCCTGGACAAGCCCAAGTTTGGAGGTCGCAACATCAAGAAGCAGTGCTGCAAGTGAGTAGCCAGAGCCCCCAAGCCCCACCACGCCGCATTTCTCTCGCCAGTCACCTCTCAATTGTCCAGGGAAATGGGGGCGGTGCGGGTGGAGGGATGGTCCGGATCACCCGATCGATAGCCAAGTTCGTTTAGGCAAGGGGTTGGCAATCTGCAGCTCCGGAGGCGCATGCGGCGCTTTAGAGGACCGCTTCGTGAAACGTTATTTACTAAGGAACCACCTCCTCGTATTCACGTTGCAATGCGGGTCTTGGAATATTGTGGGTTTTTTTTCCCCGAATTAAAAAATAAATTATCGTTTTGTTATTTTAGTTTGCCGAGCCTTGATGTCGACCAATGGACGGAGCGAAGATGTACAAACAACACAAATTCAATAAGAGGCAATGCAAAGGATTCATACTCCTGTAGGTAAAAAAAAATAATAACAATAAAATAAAATAATAATAATTTAAATTTCGATTTAAGGCTTTCGTGACTGCAGGGATTCATCTTCTTGGTTCTTTCGGTAAAGTCACGTAGAAGGGAAATAATAAAATAATAAAATACAATTCTATTTTGTATTTTATTTTGTATCATCAAATAATAAAAATAAAACATAATAAAATACAATTGTATTTTATTATGTTTTATTTTTATTATTTTATTATTTCCCTTCTACGTGACTTTACCGAAAGAACCAAGAAGATTAATAATTTACTGTATGATACAGTAAATTTGTCTGTGACGGTCCCACCTGAAGACGGAGACTTGTGTTGCCTCCGAAACGTCGTGATTTAATTTAGTTATTTTCATTTATTATTTTATTTTATTATATTAATTTGTTACCTACGTGACTTTACCGAAAAAACCTAAGAGTATGAATCCTTGCAGTCACGAAAGCTTCAAATCTAGAAACAATGCAAAGGATACGTTCATTACGATACAAATTGCTTTTTGCTTCATCCACTCCCATGACCGCTGATTCTGGTTTGTCCATTTAGTCTTCAAACGTAACCTCAATTCTAAGTTAATCGTGGGATTATTTCTATTAAGTTGGCGTGTGTCGGCATTTGTTTTGGCTTGTGTGTGTGTGTCTTGATGTGCTTCTATGTATGTGTTTTATGACCGTGTCTGAAAATCCGAGCGTTGGCATTTGTGTCCATCTGTATATGTATTTACGTGTCTAGATTTATGTATGTGTGTGTCTATCTGTATCCGTCTCTTTGAGCATGTTGTCTCTGTGTATGTAATTGTAATTTAATATATTATTAAATGTCTATGTTTATTGTTGCAGAGCGGAAACATAGTGGTTAGTGCACTGTGCTACTAACCGGGCGAAATGAGTTTGTGTCCCGGCCACGACTAGGATCAGTGTGGCATGTACAGTACTATCAAAAAGTTCTCGTTCTCGGCCTTCACTCGGTCAATTCGGCATGTAATGGATACCTGGTGAGCTGTGTAAACATAACAGCTGGGGACACGGGGGCGTGGTACCGACTTCGTTTTCCCCTCGTGCACCGTGGAGGACCTCACCCGGTGCTCGCTAGCATAATTCTGTCGCAGCAGCCTGCACCTTTGTCTTTGTCCGTCTGCTGTATCTGTGCCTCTACCTCTGCTCTGATTCCCCCTCGTTTTTTTACCCCAGGATGCGAAAGTGTCAGAACCTACAGTATTACACGCAGCCGGACAGCACACCAAAGCAGGGTACGTTGGCACGCGGGTTTTTTGGTTACAGATCGAAATGCCTGGCATGATTTGCTACGATTGTTGCCGTTGCTGCTGCTGCTGCTGGTGGTGGTGGTGGTCTGCTGATGCAACTGTAATTGTCTGCTTAATGCTTTCTTCACCCTCACAATGTGTGACTCCTTCACGCCCAGTGTTACCGTCCGTCCGATGTAACCTCCGCAATTTGTGATTCCGTCAATATTTTGTTAATTGCATTGTTTAAACGATGTCGCACATCTTGATGTGTTTTTTTTTAACAACCCGTGTCGCAACTTTTATGAATTTAAACATAAAAAATTAAGTTAAAATATGAAATCATATTTTGTAAACGTAATTTTCTGTTTTTTATATATATAATAATACTGTCATTTATTTATCTGTAAAATACTCAATTAGATTCAAGGCTGTGCTTTCAGCGAGGTCTTGCATTGGAACGTTTGGCCAATTCCTGTTTTGGATGTGGGAGGAAAGCCGCGTTACGTGGAGAAATCCCACCACACATCGAGGGGACATGCACTCAAACGGTCTGCACGCATGGTTTGGCAAACCCACTTGGCTGTACTCTAACCTCCGGTCCACCTTGCAAGCTTGGCAGATTTCGGAGCCTTGCCCATCTCTATGTGGCCCTCCAATCCTAGCTTCAATCATTAAGCCATATTTCTTCACCACTGCTGGTTCGATAATATTTTGCAGTCCGGTGCGCTGAATATCCGATGAGTTCATGATCCCATCTGCGTGCACCTTTTTGAGTATTATCCCTTCGCATGCATGAGTTTTCTCCAGGCGCCCCAGTTCTGTCTCCGAGCAAAACACTAATTCGGAAGGAATCGGTCGGGGGCATCCCAAGGTAGCAAGACTCTCCCATGCAAGAGTCTTGAGACTCGGTGAAGCTTTTCCTGATAAATAAATGACATTGTCATTAATTTTTATTGTAACAATATTATATTGATTGCCAAAAAGTGTTAAAAAAGTTAAATAAGTAGGTCGTGCAATGTCTGCGTCCAGTGAAAAAGACAGACAGGGGTAAAGCGGGAAGGAAAGAAGATGCTCAGGTTGAGGCGGAAGCCCCGGGGGGAGCCAGGGACTCGCCTAGTGAGGGCGACCCAGGCTGGAGGAGGGCGGGCAGGCAGGGGCCGCTAGCTCAGTCCCAGGCTCCGCAGGCTCAGCAGGCCTCGCAAGTTGCTAGGCCGCGCGATGCTGGCAAGCCCTTGGGAGGTAAGCATTCTGGCATTCGCTTCTCTCGCTTTCTCTTTCTTGTTATCCTGTCATACGAGACGTTTCAATACGTAAAGAGATGAACGGCACTTTCCAGTAAAATTTCACGTTGGCATTTGCAGATTTTCATTGCGTTGCCATCCTCAGGCGCAGTGCACCTGCACCAGTGGCTCATTTGTTTCCTAATGGTAGCAGCAAAGAAGTAGTGGTTGTCGTTAAACCACGGCCACAACACTGCATGCACATCCCACCGTCACTGTTAAACCACCTTTCACGTGAAACTTCCTTTAAAGTTCCGAACAAACATGAGTCCGAAGCGGACTCGGGCTGAACTGTCTGCTGGATATGCAGAAGTTGCCGTCCAAGCTTTCCCAACAATTATATCGATTAATGATATGCTAAAAACGCCACTCCTTGGACAGTCCACGTTGGTTTTGTCCAGCATGTCCGAGCATGAAGTGCTGGTGACAAGAAGTGTTACATTTCCTGGAAGGCAAAACGTCATCGGACTAAATGTGTCCCAATTTTTTTTTATCACGATTACCTTTCGGGTGAAAGCTTGCGGCCTTAATTTTCTCGTCGTTCACATTCAGTCCTTTGGTGCTTTATCGTCTCGCTCGTACTGATGGATCCAAGTTGCGTTTGTGATGATAATGGAAAAAATAAGTAAACATATGTCCTTTACACAGGCATCTGGCTGTCAAGGCTCAACAAAAATTAATTGTATTTTCTTTGTGGCCTTCTGTTTACGACTACCAAGATGATGCGCCATTTGCCACGCGATTTTTTCTCTATTATCGGGATTGCACCAACAATAAATTACAGAATTATTATCAAAAAGTCTCTTTACCTCTTGAAAAACACTCGTATTAAACCTCTACCCATGGACTAATATCATTGATACAAAGACAAGTTTAAAACAAATACCTCCCCACCTTTGTCATTAGCACTGCCTTATAACTAACAGAATATATGGAGCAAGCCAATGTATTCGGGCATTAGCCTTGCTCGGACGAAGGGCCATTGTCAAAAATATTAGCCATTCGACAAGGTCATTGCCCGTAATGTACACGTACCACCCTTTTGTCGACATACCGCGCCGTGCGTGTATGTTGAACTTCTATGGCAACATACGTAGCAAACCGTGCTAAGCGGAGGTGCAAATGCCGGTTGGTCGAGGTTGTTTGACCATACTTCACCGCGTCGAGGGTTTAGCAAGGCATAGAAGTACAGTACAACAATGGGCGTTGCTGCACTGCCTTCGGCTGCCAACCTCGACGGGCCCCCGCAGCCTGTAACACCTGTTATGCTTGCTGGTTGCCCATCCCCCGAGCACTATCCGAGCTCAACCCTGCTTAGCATCCATGATCTGACGAGATCGGGTGCGTTGCGGGTGAATTGGCGGAGACATTGGCCGACTTTCTATTTATTCCGTTAGAGGTGCAGCGGCAGTGACAACGGTGGTGGATGTTTTTTTTATTTCTGCGCTTGCATCGCTGCATACTTAATATCTGTTTTTTGTTGTTGTTGTTGACAATATCAATAATACTCGACACTGTATTATTGTTGTGGTGAAGTCATTTGCATGTGTAATGATGCTACGCTTGGCAGCCAGTAAAGGTCATCTAGCTACACTGCCAGCTAACAATTTGAATTAACGGTCGGAGCCTGAAGTGTATTAAGTGAATGTGCCCGATTGAATGTTATTCTAACTCTTGAGCCCAATCCCCCATTGTCACGTGGGGTCGGATGCTTGGATTTTCTTTCTCCATGAGCTGCTGTGCCTCTTCTCTCGTCACATATACTGTCCTCGTATCTTAATTCACCACATCCTCCCATCTCGCCTTCCAGTCTCCCTCTCATGCTGCCTTGCTCCGGTGGTGTCTGTATTGCCCATCTAGTTTATGGTTCCCTGTTTGAGTCTGTGGGTCTGTGCAAGTTTGTGGGTCTCTATGTGAGTGTATGTGTCTCTGAGCCTGTCAGTCTATGTGAGTGTGTGGGTCTCTGTGAGTGTATGTGTCTCTGAGTCTGTGGGTCTCTTTGAGTGTACGTGTCTGAGTTTGCGGGTCTCTATTTAAATGTGTCTCTGAGTTTGTGGGTCTCTATTTGTGTGTACGTGTCTGAGTTTGTGGGTCTCTATGTGAGTGTATGTGTCTCTGAGTTTGTGGGTCTCTGTGAGTGTACTTGTCTGAATTTGTGGGTCTCTATTTAAGTGAATGTGTCTCTGAGTTTGTGGGATTCTTTGAGTGTACGTGTCTGAGTTTGCGGGTCTCTATTTAAATGTGTCTCTGAGTCTGTGGGTCTCTTTGAGTGTACGTGTCTGAGTTTGCGGGTCTCTATTTAAATGTGTCTCTGAGTTTGTGGGTCTCTATTTGTGTGTACGTGTCTGAGTTTGTGGGTCTCTATGTGAGTGTATGTGTCTCTGAGTTTGTGGGTCTCTGTGAGTGTACTTGTCTGAATTTGTGGGTCTCTATTTAAGTGAATGTGTCTCTGAGTTTGTGGGATTCTTTGAGTGTACGTGTCTGAGTTTGCGGGTCTCTATTTAAATGTGTCTCTGAGTTTGTGGGTCTCTATGTGAGTGTATGTGTTTCTGAGTCTGTGGGTCTCTATGTGAGTGTATGTGTCTCTATGTGAATCTGTGGGACTCTTATCTCTATAGTTTATCTAATTGCATCTCCCCTCTCTCTAACTTTCTCACCAATAAAGCTTTAATTTCTCTATTATTTCCTTTCCCTGTAGGGATTATCCCAATGGTCAACTTGGCATCCATATCTCTGTCCTCCCATTCACTCTCTCGTCAATCTTCTGTGTCCGCACTTGCGATTCTTATTACTCTGCAGCACTTTAAATCGATGGCACATGATCTCTCTCTCATTGCAACGGGCGTTTCACTGGAGCGTTGCCTCATCAGCGCCCCTTTACATTCAAATATCTTCCCGATTAGACGTTTTCGTGACTGCAAGGATCCATACTCTTTGGTTCTTTCGGTAAAGTCACGTAGGTAAAAATACAAATAACTTAGTTAAATCACGACGTTTCGGAGGCAACACAAGCTTCCGTCATCAGGTGGTACAACCACAGCAAAAGTAAATTTCGATTTAAAGCTTTCGGGACTGCAGGGATTCATCTTCTTGGTTCTTTCGGTAGTTATTATTTCCCTTCTACGTGACTTTACCGAAAGACCCAAGAAGACAGCAAAAGTAATTCTGTTTTTTGCTGTGGTTGTCCCACCTGATGACGGAAGCTTGTGTTGCTTCCGAAACGTCGTGGTTTAATTTAGTTATTTTTTATTTTCACCCACGTGACTTTACCGAAAGAACCAAACAATATAAATATCTTCCCACTTTCTAATGTCGCAACCTTGCCACTTCAGCCACCGATGAGTGGCGATGAGTAACGCTCACCTCTGTGTGGGCTCTACGCAGTTAGCTCACCTTGATCGCTGCATATGAAGTTACCCCCCCCACCACCTCTCACTGAGATCACTTGCTGCGCTTGTTGAAGGGAAGCTAGCGTACGCATATGCAAATGAATTTACCATAAGTCACTCGTTACATCGCACTCTCGCTTACCAATGCAGCTTTCCTTACTCTATTAGGGGTGTAACGATGAAGGACAATTATGAATGCGTTCAATTCACCTTTTTTGACCCTATTTATTTATATTGTTGTGTAATGGGACCACGTGAGCCCTTTGAGCCACTCGAGGGCTGCTACAATGACCACATTGTTAAACATATCTATTTCGTGAATAGAATCGTGACCACCCCTACTAGCCAATTGCGTTGGTCAAGCGTCATGTTAATAACACGTGCAACACGTGGTGAGTGGTCTATACGTTTTGAGAATGACGTGGTATAAAAATGTTACTTTTATAGGTAAGATAATCTGGAGAACATGATAAATCACCTTTCATTCCTTTATCTCCACAGATAGAAAAAAATATCTTTTCGTTTGGCCATCCAGACTTGACGTTTTAGTTTTTATGTGAAAGCAAAAAAACAGGTGAATAATTTACTCAATGTATGACCCCTAATGCACCTCTACAGTGCTGCATTAGACTTTGCCAGGTAAAATACAATCTCAATATAAGCACAGTTCTGATATGAGCGACACGTGCTTACATTACACTTCAAATGCAAAGGACGCCTTCTGAGATGAGCACACTCGGGATTTACACAAACCTGGCCTTGCTTCCCAGAGCCGCTATTATATGCAGCTTCTTCTCTGTTATCCATAATAGAGGTTTTTTCTTTTCGGGTTGGATCGCGTAAGTATAAATGTATCGTTAAACCCGCCACCAGCCGACACAGCCAATGAGTAAGGGTTGTCGCGTAAATAAAACGTGCCAATTCGTTAATAGTCCAGCACACCGGTGTGTGTGAAAGTAAACCCACCACAACATTTACAATTCGAGTATCGTGGCGTTTCGCCGGTGATTACAACAACCAGCATCATCAGGCGACAGCCAAACCCACAACATTTCTATTTACGCGATCTAACCCAAAAAAATCTCTATTGTGGATGAGATTTGTCGCGAAAGCCTACTGCGTGTTAAACCAAAAAACAACATTAAATTTTTTTTTTTATGTGGAGATATCCGAAAATTAAGGTGATTTATTCAGTGTATTAACACAGTTGGTGAGCTATGCATATATTAATCATATGAATATCGGTGTGTAATAATAAATCACAGTCCTTAGTCGTTATACTTGCTGGATTGTTAGCCTTGCCACGCCGCGTCAGGAATGGGGGCTGTTGAACCGTACTTCACCACTTTGGATTTGCAGTTTTCGTGACTGCAAGGATTCGTACTGTGGTTTTTTCGGTAAAGTCACGTAGGTAAAACATTTAATGAAAAAACAACTAAATAAAATCACGACGTTTCGGAGGCAACACAAGCTTCCGTCTTCAGGTGGAACCGTCAGCAAAATTACTGTATCAAGTGGGATACAGTAATTTTGCCGCGACGAAACGTCGTGATTTAATTTAGTTGTTTTTTCATTTAAATTTTTTACCTACGTGACTTTACCGAAAAAAACCAGAGAGTATTCACCACTTTGGTCAGTGCGGGTTTGGCGAGTGCACAGGGTTTCCCATTCAGATTTCACTTGCCACTGATGTTTACCGTGGCCGTTTTTTAAAATGCAGTTCACTAACCAACTGTTGTAGCAGCTCCCTCCAGATGTCGCTCCAGTGAATTCGATACACTTAAGTGATTTTTTTTTTTACAATAAATTATTTGTCATTCTCAAAACTAATGGACAGTCTGTCACGTACGTCCGCGCATGGTAGGGGTGGAACGATGCATCGGTTTATTGATTCGTATTCTATTGCCGGGTTCAGGACGCATATCGAAATGCGTTTATTGAAATTCTATTTTTCAGTCGGTACACGTTGCACGTATTTGGTTCATGTCACGTTTGGCAGCCGCTAGAGGCATTACCATTTATCGCAGTGTTTAAAGATAATCAATTTTTGAATAGATTTGCAACTCCGAATCGCGATAATGAATCAAATGACCAAGGCGTTGTATCGTTCCACCCGTAAATGGTATGCAGCAGAGTTATATCCTATTGCTATCCTGTCCCTACCTTACACATACCTGCGTACACACACAGACACATGCGCACACGCGTTGTTCGTGAATGCGTCACGCTCTGCTGCACGTGTTTATAGCTGTGTGGGTACATGTGCGTCTGTCTCTGCAGTCGTGCTTGGAGAAAAATCTACCAAACGGGGAACCCAGTTGCGCACAAAGAAGTCGAAAGAGAAGGTGGGTTTCTGTGTGCTCCTGGCGCGGTGGCAGACATGCCACTTTTGCACAGTGGGATGATGGTGGTCGTACAGAGGATGAACACTCGAAGCTCCCCACAGATTCATTTAATCCGTGGCTACTGCTACCTCCTTGCCATCTCGCAGGCTATGCACACAGCACCTCGTATTCACAGGCAGTCTCCCCATATCCAAGTACTAACCAGGCTCAAACCTCCTTCGCTCACGCTTTTCGTCGAGGTTGGGCGTGCTGGTCATGGTGGTTGGGTTGTGTGTGTGCGTGCACGCACGCACGCTCCACCAGGTATGCACCAAGTGCAAGAGACTTTCCTGCTCTAACTGTTCTCACCTGGTTAAACAAAATTAACTTGAATGGTGCTCGATGATGATGATGCCATAAAATGTGAGGATAGTCAACTCTTAGGTCAAGGGTCGGAAGGAGGCATGTGCCAGATGAATAAAAAAACACAAATAATTTAAAAGGTGTCCAATAAGATTTTAAAACGTATGGTTAGCGTTTCCCTCCGGAGAATGGTGGTGAAGATGTCGAATATTTCGTGAGTTTTTTTAATGTTTCTTAAAGCAAAGTTTCGCTGTACTTCACTACAGATTCACATGGACACTTGAGTCGTCAGTTAGGAACTGCTCAAAGATTGTCCAGCGCTCGTGAAAATTTACTTTTCCAAACACGGTCAATCCTGAACCTGCATCATCTGCTCACGGATGCAGCGTTGTTAACTGTTTATGCACTCCACAAATCTGTCTGTCTGCCTTATGATGCCAGTTGTAATCACTGGCATGTTCTGTTTACGTGACAAACCTTCCTTACTGGCTGTGTCGGGTGGTGGCGGGTCTAACGACACATCTATATTTACGCAATCTAACCCAAAAAAAGCCTATATAATGGATGTGTACGCACTGCTGGATTGTTAACTGGGGGTGTGTGTGAGAGACGTGCCAAGCAGGGAGCCTATGACAACGGGCTAATTCACGACACGGTCTCGTGTCTCTTGGAGTGTCTCTTCAGTGGCGCGTGAGTCCACGCCGTTGTATGTACGTACGTATGTACGTTGAACTTCTTTTGCAACTTACGTAGCCAACTGCGCTGATCTGGTCGCAGGAGAAGGGCAGGGAGGTGAACAAGCCGGAGGTTGTCGTGGCGACGGTTTTGAGCAATGGTGGCAACGGAAAACCTCGCGCCATCCCTGATGGCGTGCACCGCATCCGTGTGGACTTCAAGGTACCCGTTTTTTTTCATATCGCGGTGGCTAGGAGATGTTAACTACCTCGCCTGGTGTACAGGAGGTTGTGGGTTCGATCCCCATCCTGACGCTGGCTGTATATTTAGAGTTTGCGTATCTCTCTCTGCCCGTGGTCTCCAGGTCCACCGGCTTTTCCCTCCACATTTAGAATCAACATGCATTTTAGAGTATTTGGTTGCTATAAGTTTCCACATGGTTATCATTTGTGGCCAGGTCACTTCTGAAAGAGCCATGTAGCTCAGTGGGCCTTACCTGGTAAAACTAAACATAGTTTAAATATTGATTTAAAGCTTTCGTGACTACAGGGATTCATATTCTTGGTTCTTTCGGTAAAGTCACGTAGAAGGGAAATAAAAAAAATATATAAACCATATATATTTATATGTTTTAAACATTATATATTTTTTATTTTATTATTTCCCTTCTACGTGACTTTACCAAAAGAACCAAGAATATAGTTTAAATAGTTTATTGTTCAAGTTCAAGAGGTAATCTCGTGCACTGCCCGTTTGTTACCGTCACTTCTTCGCTGTCGCTTGTCTCCTAGAATATCTCGTATTTATTGCAAAGTCGACGTGCGACCGCCCGAGGACTGCTCCCGTAGTTCTGTCATCACTGCCACCATCTGGAGTTAGGCCTACCGTTTGGTTACTGACCTCTGGGAACCGCCTGTATCAGTCGGTAACCTGGCCTCTTCAATGTGACGTCATCTTGTAATGTCACAAGTAATGATGCCATCAGAAAGCAAATTAAAACAGCGGATTTTTTTTATTGCCACGTTTTGGGCAACACTGTAAGCAGGTTGTCTTAATTTTCCATTGGGCAATTCCCTAATAGCCGCACAACTCTATGCTGAATTCTGTTCACATCGCATTGTGGTTATGAGAGTTATTGTGATTCACTATTTCTATTTTAGTTGGAGAGTGTTAAAATTGATCGACACTTTAATCAAATCGAAACACCCTGAATTGCGACAGCCTATTGAATTGTGGGGTTGTGGTGGCGGGCGGGGGGGAGATTATTGTCATACTGAGCTGCAGTGAGGTTAGCGGCGAGACGCTAGACACGTATTTGCGTGTTGCGTTCGCAGGAGGACTGCGACATCGACAACGTGTGGAGGATGGGCGGCCTCTCCCTCCTCACCTCCGGGGTGATCGCACCGCGAGTCATCTGCTTCCTGTGCGCCAGCAGTGGCATTCACGAGGTGCGAATGATCCCGTGACCCCGGTGACCCTGTCATTATCACGATCACTATCGTAGTATCATCATACTCATCGTCATCATTGCATCCCAACCAATATCTTCATTGTCGTCGTTATCATCATCACCTAAACCAAAATCATCATCTTTGCCACCGTACTCGTCCGATGAGCACGGTTGGCCACGTACGGTGCGAAAGAATTTCAACAAACATTTTGTACTCGCGCCATTCTAATAGCGCAAGGCTATCACGAAGGCGCTGTGTTTCACAGACGCAGTCTGCACTAGTTTCACAGTCTGGGGCGATCTTACTACGTGCAATCCCAGTTGAGTATTTCCATCATCACCACCACCACCATCATTAATATGGTCACCAATCATTGCCATCCTTACCTTAATAGGTGCTCGCCAACAGTCTGCTGCTTAAGGTTACGGGACGGAGCGGGATATTTACTTTTGTCTATCCGTAGCTGGTGTACTGTCGCGTGTGCTGCGAGGCGTTCCACTCGTTCTGCCTGGGAGAGGGCGAGCGCCCGCTGGAGGGAGAGATGGAGAACTGGGTGTGCCGGCGCTGCAAGTTCTGCCACGTCTGCGGCCGTCAGAACCGGGTACTCGCTCGCCGGCTCGCTCCCCTCCCTCCCCTCAACCACCGACAGGGGGGCTCTGGATGTCGACGCTTATTGACGCCAGCGTTGAATTAGTTGGCGTTGATATCTCCTGTACCTGTTTTCTGACACGCTCTGCGAGATTAAGTTGTCTCGTGGTTGTTGTTGGTATATTTGCACAGGGGTGGTGTACGGTGATTTTTTTCTGCAATATTTTGCTGTCTTTTCTTGGATTTTCTGTTTGCACATAGTCACTTTAAGATGTTTTCTTGTTCATGTTTTTTGTTTGTTGCGGTTGCACCCGATTCAAGAGCCGAATGGCTCACAGGGCTATACCTAATACATGAACTTTGAACTTTGAACTTAATCAATTCTCCTTCTCGTTGTATGATTCCGAAAGCTCAGTTGGCCATATGTCGGGTAAAAACCAGAGCGGAAACATGTAAATGACGCGTGTATTCCTTCAGCGTGAATATCGTTTTGTGTTTGTGCGTGTGGTAGCTTCTCCAGTGCGACAAGTGCCACAACACCTACCACTCGGAGTGTCTCGGACCGAACTACCCCAGCAAACCGACGAATCGCAAGCGTGTTTGGGTACGTGGATACTGAAAACGAATTTCTTTAGAACTGCTTTTTGTGTTTAGTTTGTTGTCCTTCCCCCACACCCATGATTAGCACACTTAGCTATGTACAGTGCGAAAGAAGTTCACCATTCATACACGCGCACCGCAACCACACCTGCTAACAGGGCGATGACGTAGCCCGGCGGTAGCACGTTCCCTGGTATGCAGGAGGTCGTGGGTTCGATCATGACCCTGACACTTGCTGCATATTTGGAGTTTGCATGTTCTCCCCGTGGTCGCGTGGATTTTTCTCCGGGTTCTCCAGTTTTTCCCTCCACATTTCGAGTGAACATCACGCGTTTGGAGAATTTGGCCGCTATACATTTCCACGTGATAAGCCACTTGGTCGAGCGATCATATGTGGCCAGGTCGCTTCTGAGCAAAGAGCAATTTTAGCTTAGTGGGCCTTACCTGGTAACATTGAGACAGTTACTAACCAGGCTCATACCTGCGTCGCTTCTGACGAGATGGGGCGTGTTGTTCATTGTGGTTCGGTTGTGTGTGTGTGTACGTGTGCTCGCACGTGTATCGGTCAGGTGTGCACCAAGTGCGTGAAGTGTAAGAGCTGCGGCGCCACAACGCCCGGCAAGGGCTGGGACGCGCAGTGGTCGCACGACTTCTCGCTTTGCCACGACTGCGGGAAGCTTTTCGACAAAGGTGAAGCGCTTGCCAGACACCGCCAGAACCGGTGGCCCACAAGCGGTCTTATTTCTACCTTCGCAGACGAGCTGTTGACGCGGCCATCCATATCGGCTCACGATTACAACCCCCCCGGGTTCCTCTTCTTGGTTCTTTCGGTAAAGTCACGTAGAAGGGAAATAATAAAATGATGAAATTTAAACATTATAAAATAAAATTCTCACGACGTTTCGGCCACAACGCAAGCAGCCGTCCTCAGGTGAAGAACAGGTCTGTCGGAAAGACCGCGTCCGAATGAACACCACCAAGCTTGGCAGCGTATATTTAAGCTGGGTTAGAGGAGGAGAGCGCCTTGACAAAGGAATTTACATATCAGCAGAGGAATTTAGCATATTGATGGGAAATGCAGATATGGGATTAGTCACTACTTGTGGAATGTGTAGGTGGTGGGGAGGTCTCAAAGTCATATTATGCTCGTGTATTATGTAGGATTAGCAGTAATAAAGGAAGGAAGTAGGATTAGCAGTAATAAAGGGAGGGACATTTAATAGTAAGGAGCTGCAGCAGCCAAACCACCACGTAAAAAAAACTTAAATATAAACTACATCCAATATCAATTTTAATTTGGAGCTTTCGTGACTGCAGGAATTAAGAAAAAAATATTTAATTTATTATTTTATCTTTATACGTGACTTTACCAAAAGAACCAAAGAGTACATCCAATATCATCAATATACTCAAAAAAATTCCCCCGGGTTCCACTGCACGGCCGAGTAGCGCCGGGGCCGTGGCGCCGGGTGGTTTTTCCGCTGCGGGAGCCAAGCTGTGTGCCGCTGTCACCACGTGCAATATAAGTGGATATGTTTTCACGAGTGAAATATTCCCGTCTTGAGATGCAGTCACATTTCCGACGCTCTAGAATTCACATTGTGTTGTACTGCATTGAAGGCCCACTGAAATCGATAAATCTTTACTTACCTACTCGCTTGGGTCTGCATGCAAGACAAATACAAAGGTCCCCCTTGAAGCCTTGACAGAATTTTGGGTAAATTTCTGTTAGCGAGCACCTAATGAAGGCCGGCACAGCACACGAGGGGGTGGGTGGCCAGCACCATGCCTGGCCGTCCTTTGTCTCCTGAGTGGTGATGTTTATACACCGCACCAGCTACTCACTTCATGGCGATTCTACCCCGGGAAGGCCCAGAACCGGTTCAGATATTCATCACGGATTGTCGGCTGCGACCGGGAACCTTAATTTGGGTCGTGGGGTTCATGGCGCAGTGGACTGACCGCTACACTACCTCTCCCCACACACACACGCAAGTGCTTAGAATCGCACACTCCCAGAGAGCTGGAGGACTTGAATCGCCGGTTTTAAAAGCGACAGGCGAGAGTTGGGTGCCGGCCGCATCGCTGTTTGACTGAGCTCCTGTGCGCTCACTCGCTCCCTCCACCGTCTTCTCGCAGGGAACTTCTGCCCCGTGTGCAACCGATGTTACGACGACGACGACTACGAGAGCAAGATGATGCAGTGCGGGAAGTGCGAGCGCTGGGTGCACGCCAAGTGCGAGAGCCTCTCCGGTGAGTGGGGGCCGCCCCGCAGGAGAAGGGGGGCACGAGGTGGGGCAGAAGCTGTGTCCTGAGGCTTCATTGTGGGTGCCGCAAGGGATTGTTCCCGGTTTGTTTCACACACGAGGGTGCTGTGTTCGTGAATGAAGGTTATTTTAAGGTTATTTAACTCCCTCCCGTCGCAGCAAGATGCGCAAAGAGGCATGGAGAGGTGCATGTTTGCACTCACACTCAAATTACCATTATAATATAAGTTATGCTGACTCGCAGCAATACCTTCGTTTATTTTAACACGCATTTCTTTTCTCTCAGTATTTTCTTGCACGTGCTGTCCAAACACGGCGCACAGCAAACACTGGTATTGGTCATCTGCGAGCAAAGTCTCACAGCAATCGGTGTAGCACTTTAGTAGTTTTTAAAACATGTGTAGCGTTCTCGGATGGGCAGATGAACAGATAATGGACGGACAGATAATAATGGACAGACAGATATGGACAGGAGGATAACAGAGCCAAATGTACTGATGAATTGTTAACAGACAGCAGATTGATGGGTGGATGGACGGATAACACACGGATGAACGAACGGACTGACATAATTTCGGGAAATATAAATGAGTAGCCTTTCAATTCCCCTAGAAATCTCCCCCGTTTTCCGATTGATCCCCCCTTGCTTCTGTGACTACCCCCATCGTGGCTGTGGTGTTGCTTTGGGGTAGTGATATTGCAGCGGTTAGTGCGCCGCACTACGAACCCGGCGACCCGAGTTTGATTCCCGCCCACGGTGAGCATTGGTGACGAATATCTGAACCGGTCTTGGGCCTCGCCTAGGTCAACTCAGCCTCAAATGAGTACCCGGCACTGTGTGTGTAAACATCGCCACTGGGGAGACAAAGGCAGCCGGGCGTGGTGCTGGCCACCTACCCCCTCGAGTGCTGTGTCGTCCTTCATAGATGCTCGCTAACAGCACTTGCCCCAACAGTCTGTTAACATTTCGATTTAAAGCTTTCGTGACTGCAGGGATTCATCTTCTTGGTTCTTTCGGTAAAGTCACGTAGAAGGGAAGTAATAAAATAATAAAAATAAAACATAATAAAACAATTCTCACGACGTTTCGGCCACAACGCAAGCAGCCGTCCTCAGGTGAAAACCAGGTCCGTCGAGGCGACAGAGTCTGAATGAAACAGCACACGGGCTTGGAGCATATATATAAGCTGGGCGCATTGACAAAGGAATTTGCATATCAACAGGAATTTAGCATATTTATGGGAAATGCAGGAATGTAATTAGTACTGCATATGCATGTGCATTATGTAGGATTAACAGCATCAAAGGGAGCTGCAGTTACTGCTGCTGCAGCAGTTGCCGCTGCTGCAGAAGTTGCCGCTGCTGCTGCACTTGCTGCTGCTGCTGCACTTGCTGCTGCTGCTGCACTTGCTGCTGCTGCTGCAGTTGCTGCCTTATCCATTTTAATATAACACTATGTATTATTCTACCCACCCTAATGTGTATCATACTGCTATATGTTTACTGTACAATTACGACACCATACATTACTCTGCACACTGCACCATGCCAGTGAGTGGAACGTGGTCTGAAAGTCACCGTTAACGTGAACACAATCAGTTAAGATCCGAAATGGTTTATTACGTCCTTCCAATGATTGCTAAGCCAGAATCCATCTTCTCGGTTGAAATTGTCTCTGTGTTTGTATATGTGGATCGCCTCATGAACGAATCTCTCATGATAGCCAGATGGCTTGCAGAGAACCTCTGTCTTGGAGAAGTCAATGTCATGTGAGCCCACTGAATTGTAACAGTGATCTGCCACGGCTGAGGTGTTTGTCCTACCGTGTTTCAGGTCTGCCTTATGTTCACGGATGCGGTCCGAGACATGTCGTTTGGTTTCTCCAATGTAACTGCTACCACAGAGGCAACTTAGTTTGTAGACGCCAGGGTACTGTATGTCTGGAACCACATCTTTTACAGACGGGACCAGATCACGGATTTTATGTACTGTGTTGAATCGGACCTGGATCTTGTGTTTAATCAGGATTTTGGAGATCTTTTTTGTGACCCCAGCAATGTAGGGTAAGGTGATGGTCTTGAAAGGCTCCTCAACAGGATCCTTCTTGATGGTTGGAGTGATGGCTTTGCGGATTGTGTAGTCGGAGTAACCATTAGCCTTAAGAGCTTGGCGTACGTGTTTGAGTTCACTGGAAATGTGTTCATGGTCGGAGATGCATTGGGCTCTATGATATAGAGTCTTGATGAGGGAATTTTTCTGGGATGGATGGTGGTGGGAATCCGGTTTTAGATAAGCATCCGTGTGGGTGGCTTTCCTGTAGACAGAGTGGCTCATTGAACCATCAGGTCTCCTTTTGATTAGGACATCCAAAAGGGTAGCTTGCCATCATTTTCGACTTCCATGGTGAATCTGATGGCTGGGTGTATGGAATTGATGTGGTCGAGAAATTGGTCTAGAGCAGGCCGGCCATGTGGCCAGATGACAAAAGTGTCGTCTACGTACCTCTTCCATAAGGTCGGGCGTAGAGTGGCAGTCTGGATGGCGTCCGTCTCAAATTTCTCCATGAAGATGTTGGCTACAACCGGAGACTTCTCCAAGACAGAGGTTCTCTGCAAGCCATCTGGCTATCATGAGAGATTCGTTCATGAGGCGATCCACATATACAAACACAGAGACAATTTCAACCGAGAAGATGGATTCTGGCTTAGCAATCATTGGAAGGACGTAATAAACCATTTCGGATCTTAACTGATTGTGTTCACGTTAACGGTGACTTTCAGACCACGTTCCACTCACTGGCATGGTGCAGTGTGCAGAGTAATGTATGGTGTCGTAATTGTACAGTAAACATATAGCAGTATGATACACATTAGGGTGGGTAGAATAATACATAGTGTTATATTAAAATGGATAAGGCAGCAACTGCAGCAGCAGCAGCAAGTGCAGCAGCAGCAGCAAGTGCAGCAGCAGCAGCAAGTGCAGCAGCAGCAGCAAGTGCAGCAGCAGCAGCAACTGCAGCAGCAGCAGAAACTGCAGCAGCAGCGGCAACTGCTGCAGCAGCGGCAACTGCTGCAGCAGCAGTAACTGCAGCTCCCTTTGATGCTGTTAATCCTGCATAATGCACATGCATATGCAGTACTAATTACATTCCTGCATTTCCCATAAATATGCTAAATTCCTGTTGATATGCAAATTCCTTTGTCAATGCGCCCAGCTTATATATATGCTCCAAGCCCGTGTGCTGTTTCATTCAGACTCTGTCGCCTCGACGGACCTGGTTTTCACCTGAGGACGGCTGCTTGCGTTGTGGCCGAAACGTCGTGAGAATTGTTTTATTATGTTTTATTTTTATTATTTTATTACTTCCCTTCTACGTGACTTTACCGAAAGAACCAAGAAGATGAGTCTGTTAACACTTTCCCATACCGATGACGTCCACGTACTTCATTGGGACGGAATCGGAAGAAAAATAAAATAACTTGATCGGTACTGAGGCTCCCACAAGGCCATGTGGGAGGGGGCGTGTGGCACAATTTGGCACCAGCTACCATAGAGTGCGGTCGTGTCCGTACAGTTCTCGGCGGTGATCACAATGTCTTGAAAAACAACCTCTCTTCATGAAATTAACACGAACCACTTGCGCGTTCCGGGATTCAGCGGTGAACGGGACCCACACTGCAACTTGCAGACGTCGGGAAAGGTGTGTTAATAGGCCCTACGGGGGGGGCGGTGGCTTCTTTGTCTTTGTTTGGTGTCGCCGTGCGCAGACGAGATGTACGAGATCCTGTCGAGCCTGCCCGAGAGCGTGGTGTACACGTGCGTGCGCTGCACCGAGTCCCGGCCGGCCGAGTGGAGCGTGGCGCTCGCCGCCGAACTACAGGCCGGCCTGCAGCTGGTGGCTAGCGCCCTCGCGGCCTCGCGCGTTTCCGCCAGCCTGCACCGGCACCGGCAGGTGGGTAACCGCCGCGCCCAGCCACCGGCGCTTTTTGGGGTTGGGTTGTCACCTCCTTGATGCAACAAAAATATCTCGCGACACCAGAATAAACTAAAAACGAAACTATTTTTTCTTTTGCCAGGTAAGGCCCCGCTGAGCTGCATAGCTCTTTTTCAGAAGCGCCCTGGCCAGAAATGATAGCTCAGTGAAGTAGCTTATCACGTGGAAATTTATAGCAACCAAATACTTTTAAACGCCTGTTGCTTCTAAATATGGAGGGAAAAACCGGAGGACCCAGAGAAAAATCCACGAAATCACGGGCATAACATGCAAACTCCAAAGATACAGCCGGCATCAGAGTCGGGATCGAACCCACGACATTCCTGTATACCAGGCGAGGGAGTTAACATCTCTTCATCGGGGATAACTGCATGTTAAATGCTTTGTGTTGGTGTTTTATTATGCCACGAACAAAAAAAGGACGTTTGATGTCCCAGAAAGACTTGCCAAAATTCTCAGTAATAGAACAATCCTGGGATAACCAGGGCAGGGTTGCAACTTAGCTTTTGGGTGTCCCGGTCATTTTTACGGCACTAAGCCACCGACCCTCGACGAGTGAGGAGCAGCTCACGATTAAATCAGCATGCACGTAAATATATTGCATTAATTGTGTTTTTTTCAAAGCACGGTTCTTCCATTACACGAAGATATTTCTCGCGAATGATCCGAGCGTTAACTCTACGATTGTCAATCCCCGTCGAGTGACCGTAATAACGGATGCCTCACGTACGGGTTTTTTTTTAATCCTTTATATTAAGTTCGCTTGCTTGCTTACGACCGTGCAAATCTTTCGGTCGTTTTTTAACCCACTTCCCGTGATCCAATCGAGCTGACATTTTCCACACAGACTCGTTGTGCGTGACAATTAATGTTCGTGAAATTTTTTTCCAAAATTTTACACTTTTTAGGACAATTTTTTTTTATATTTAATTACCAATTGCTTAATGGTGGCAGGCAATCATCTGACCCATAGGTGGCAGCCATCTCAAGCCAGAGGACGAGAGGACTCTAGCGGCCACGCATATAAAGGATTTATAGTGAAAAACTTTACGGGTTAATTTTTTTTACCCTCTATTTCTACAGTCAAGCAAAGCAGGCCAGCGAAGCTCAATCGGGCACCCCAGCCGGCGCTGCGGACAGCCCTGTCGCCACGGATACGGAGCGGCAGGACCTGCCCACGGACCTGGAGGGGGTGAAGCGCAAGCTGGAGCGTGGGGCCTACAACAGCTTGGTTAGGCATCCGAGCACAATGCCTGCTCCCAAAAATTCACCAATTGATTTACTGGGCACGTCACGTAAAAATGGGTTGAAACCGATTTTTTTTTACGCTCACGGTATATGCAACGAATTGTAAGTGTGCAAATGCTTAATTTACAGTTTATACAAATGGAACTTAAATGATGTGTCATTGTTGTGTTTGGGGGTAATGTAGTGGACAAAACTTTCCATACTGGGCAGAAAGAAACAACATGATTGAGATGATTAAAACGAGACAAAAAAAAACAATCTTAGATCCAACTGTAAAACCCTTACCACTTTCACATGGCCCACAAAATATATTTTATTCCTCACTGCAAGCATCTTGGCTGCACAAATCTGGGTTCCAGAGGGATATATTTTTGACAACCTGGCAACAACCGACATGTTTGTGATTGTCTCGCGCGCTCAGTAGTCAATTCCGTCACAGAAAGGGCCTCCTATAGTGACAGAATGTATCGTTTCTTATGCTAGTGTCTGGACCCGCCATAGGTATCCAAACTGCCATTTTCTCCACGGTAACGAAAAGCTTCCTGACCGAGTGCGGTTCGCAATCAGAAAGTCGTGAGTTAAAATCCTTGTCGGGGTTCAATCCAGCCTTTCACCCCTCTGGGGTCAATCAGATGAGTAGCACTGTGTGGGAAGTCAACAGTTGTCTTCCTTTTGAAAGACTTGTGCCCACCACAGCAATGTAGGCTTTCCACCACTGGCTCTTGTGCCCACTTAACAATGTAGAATTTCCTCCATCTGCTCTTATGCCCACCATAGCAATGTGAAAATTTCGACCATTGGCTCTTGTGCCTGCCATAGCAGTGTGGGATTTGCACCGCTCTGTCATGTTCATTTTGTTGCTGTTGACGTTGCCAGACGGGGTTTTGCGACGACGTGACGAGGGTGCTCCAGTGCGACGCCGACGTCACGCAGCCGGAGGTCAAGCGAGCGGCCGCGACCCTCAAAGGGCTCTTCACCAGGGTTAGTCGCGCGTCCCCCGGGTCACCGATTTTTCCCAGTTTCCCTATCTTCATACCAAGTGTGCGGGGTGATCTCTGGCCCTGGAGGCCGGAGTGCAGAACCACGGCTTCATTTCCCATGGGCCCGCAAGCCACATGTGGTCAACCGCTTCGAAATGGCCCCCGTGAACGATAATTATCCATCGTGGCGAGCATTTTTATACGAACTAGTCGGGTACTAGGCGAGATGTTAACTAGCTTGCCTCGCATGCAAGAGATTATGGGTTCGATCCAGACCCTGATGCCTGTATATTTGGAGTTTGCATGTCTGTCTACCCGTGGTCACGTGGATTTTTCTCCGGGTCCTCCGGTTTTCCCTCCACATTGAGAAACATGCTATAAATTTCCACGTGATAAGCCGCTTCATTGAGATATGATTTATGCCAGGTCTGTCGGCCTTACCAGGTTAAAATTTGTTAATAAATAAATGACAAGAGAAAGGGAATATTCTCTACATAGCAACAGAGCGAGATCAATTTGAGTGTGCCACCCCCCCCCCCCCACTGGCTCTGCCAGTGACTATGTATGTTGAACTTCTTTGGCCAACCATGCTAATTGGAGGTGCGAATAGAACAGAGAAACGATGTAACCGAGACATTAATCAGGCACAGAGAAAGAGAAAGACAGACAGAGGTTGACACAGAGAGACAGAGCATGGCTCCACTCGGGGTACGCTGAATGCAAAGCCCGCCCTGAATGACGTTGTACCGCTGCTGCTGCTGCGGTTGTGTCATGTGTGAACTAACGACACATCTGTGTCATCGTCCGCCCCACAGCAAATGGAGAAAGTCTTCCCGTGGTTTGACATCCGAGGATCAAGGTTCTGGGACCAGAATCGCACCCAGGATATGTGAGTTGCATTGCGTGGGGGAGGTTGGGGTGGAGGGGGGGATTGTAAAGGTATCACCGACCCCTTGTAAAATCTTATAGTGCAATTAACCCTTTCCCATTCCGATGACGTACCTGCATGTACGTCATCGGTTTTTCTTCCGATTCCGTTCCGATGGCGTACGTTTACGTCATCGGAATAGAATCGAATCGAAACAGAATCGGAAGTAAAAGGCCAACGCGGGAGTGCGTTTGGCACAGTTTTGATGCCAGCTATCATGGAAGTGCGGCAGTCGTGCCGCTTCAGTTCTCTGCGGTAAGTACAGTACAGTGTCTTTAAAAACAGCGGCGCTTCGCCTCTCTTAGTAAAATTGACGCCGAACCGCTTGCGCGTCGTTTCCGAGGTTCGCCGGCGAGCGGTGACGCCCACCCTAGAAACGTGCAGACGTCAACGGAACGGAAAAGGGTTCAGAATGGGCTCTCGCAGCATTTCCTCATGCACAGGGGATCGTGCCGTGAGCATTCCCGTTAGCGTTCAACATTATTTTAGAGCTCGTTTAATAATACCTTTGTCGAGCCTCACCTCGCCCCCCCCCCCCCCCCGAGTGTTTTACTAATACCCCCCCCCCCCCCACTTTAAACAATCTCACGCTGCAGGGTTGTGAGAGTCTGGTTTTAATCGATGGGTCTGTGTGCCGAGCGACTCGCCTAACAAATGTTCAGCTTCATTGTCGTCGCAATTGTTTCCGTCCACGTTTATAAACGCGCTTTTGAGGTTATTTGTATGCTATAAATGCCCACTTGATAAGCCACTTGGTTGAGCTATTATTTGTGGCCAGGTCGCTTCTGAAAAAGAAGCTAATAGCTCAGTGGGTTACCCGTTAAAATTCTGACCTGCCCCGAATGGACATCTATAGCTCATAAAATTTCTCCAGGGTAAAGAGATATATATTCTGATTTCATCTCGCGTCTATTTTCGACAACTTTGCGCTCCCTACGTGACCGATCGACCGACGTTCTTTCCTCCTTCCCTCTCTCCCGCGCACGCCCAGTGGGCTGTTGCCCAACGCCGTGTTGCCCCCTTCCGCGGACCACGATTACGCGCAGTGGCGTGAGCGCGAAGGGGAGGGGGCAGCGCTGGCCGCGGGCGGTGCCCCCCACAGTCAGCCTCCACTCCTCAAGAAGATCGTCCCGGCGCCGCGTCGCAAGGCCTCCACCGACGCTCAGGACGACGGCGGTAAGGGCAACCCTCTGGGCCCATTTTTTTTTACTAAAACTAAACTCCATTGGAACCTCATTTGCCAGTAAAAAATATGATAATTGGTTTTTTACCCTTCTATCTGGCAACAAAACTTACACCTTTTTTACAAGGAGTCATGTTTACATAGACCACAATACCTGCGGTCATAATGCAAACCAAAAACATAACTCTGATAATGTATGCACTGTCCTTGAAGTTGTTTGGTCCACACCCAAGACAGCTTTCCTTAGAGCCTAGTCTCACATGGGTTGGACCAACCCATGTGAGACTAGGCTCACATGGGTTGGTTATGTTTTTTGTTTGCATTATGACCGCAGGTATTGTGGTCTATGTAAACATGACTCCTTGTAAAAAAGGTGTCAGTTTTGTTGCCAGATAGAAGGGTAAAAAAACAATTATAAAACTAAACTATAAACTATTTTATATTTAACCAGGGAAGGCCCACTGAGCTGTTTAGCTCTTTTTCAGAAGCGACCTGGCTGCAAATAATAGCTCGACAAAGTGGCTTGCCATCACGTGGGAATTTATAGCACCGGCCAAATACTCTTAAATGCATGTTTCTACATTGCGAGGGACACATTGGAGGGCCCGGATAAAAATCCACGCGATCACGGGGAGAAACACTCAAACTCCAAATATACAGGCGTCAGGGTCGGGATCGATCCCACGACCTCCTCTGATTTATCCATGTTCCCCTCCACATTTAAAAACATGCGTTTAGAGTATTTAACTGGTATACATATCCCCGTGATAAGCTACTGCACTGAGCTGTCATATGTGGCCAGGTCGCTTCTGAAAAAGAGCTATGTAGCTCAGTGGGCCAAAGGACCTGGTAGAATAAAAATGAGTTTAGTTGAATAAATTTTAGTCTGTTCGGAGCGTTATTTAACTTGGGTTGTGTTACACTGTCCGGGCGTGTGCTGCCACCTGTCTTGCAGCTGGAGCCGACGGTGGCGGCGACAGCGCCATGGAGGTGGACGTCCCGGTGGACAAGGAGGACAACCGCCAGTGCATGCTGTGTCTCGGCTACGGCGACCAGAGCTCAAACGTACGCGCCGCACACTCTTAAAAACCCGCGACTCTCTTCCGCTGAGATTCTCTCTCTCTCATGACTCTGTCTCGGTCTTGCGTATTGCTCGATGAATAGCCAATGTATGAGTCTGTCCAGATTAGTCGTCCTGGAAATGGCTTCGTTTTGGATGTGTGGGGGGGATTGCACGACTGTGTGTGGTCGATGGCCTGGATGGTGTTTCCACAATCGCCTGCCAGGCACTTTCATTGAGTGTGCACGTTGGCACCCCCATATAATTTCTTATTCTTTTCATAACATTTTTAGGTGGGGCACTGCTCCCCATTATTCTGCGGCTTTTCAGTCGATAGTTTTCTTTGACACACCTTAGCCAACGAATATTAGGAACAGTAACAGTGCCTTACTCTTTGGTTCTTTCGGTAAAGTCACAGAGTCTATGTCACAGTCTATGTCTCCTGCTGTATCTGTTCTCCTGCTGTATCTGTTCCACCTGATGACGGGCGCTTGTGTTGCGATCGAAACGTCACGATCTGTGATTTTTCTACCCGCGTGACTTTACCGAAAGAACCAAAGAGTATGGATTCCTGCAGTCACGGAAGCTTCAAATCAAGATCGTAACAGTGCCATTGCGGCACCAAAACTCTGGAACTCCTTCCGCCTGCGAGGTCATGACTTGAAAGACACTTACAAATCTTCATATCTCAAATAAAAACGTATCCGTTTGAAATAGCTTTCTCTCTCTTGACTTATTTTAAAACGTCTTTCTCACTTCTTCTCGCCTTGGTTGATGTTAAACTCTTTGCCGCCTTTCCATGCATAGCGCCCTGAGTACGACTGTTCAAGGGCCGATTTAAAGCTTTCGTGACTGCAGGGATTCATCTTCTTGGTTCTTTCGGTAAAGTCACGTAGAAGGAAAATAATAAAATAATAAAAATAAAATAATTCTCACGACGTTTCGGCCACAACGCAAGCAGCCATCTTCAAGTGGAGAACAGGTCTGTCGAGAAGGCAGAGTCTGAAGTTAAGCTTTATTTTTATTATTTAATTATTTTCCTTCTACGTGACTTTACCGAAAGAACCAAGAAGATGTTCAAGGGCCCTTTGTAAATTATTATTGTTACTATTAAAAGTGCACAGCTCCCAGCGGCTTCCTAATGTTGGCAAAGGAAGGGCCGTTCCAGAATACAAGGTCCGACCGCCAGCGGCTAACAAGGGGGATGCGACCGACGGGCCTCTTGCAGGAGGCGGGGAGGTTGCTCGGAATCGGGCAGGACGAGTGGACGCACTCCAACTGCGCCGTGTGGTCGGCCGAGGTGTTTGAAGACGACGACGGATCGCTCAAGAACGTCCACGCCGCCGTGTGGCGGGGCAAGCAGCTGGTACGTGGGGTTCGGTTGCCGGCACTGTCCCCTCGCTCGCTCCCTCCCTCCCCTCCCTTCGCCAGCAACTCCGATCGCCTCCGCTCAGTGTTCTGGGGGTTCACACATTGAGATCGCTTCACGCACGCAGCACAGCATAAGCTTCAGCCGACCCTTTCCCGTTAGGAGACGTCTGCAAGTTGCAGGGTGGGTCCCCGTTCATTGCTGAATCTCTGAACGCTCGCAAGCGGTTTAGCGTTAATTTTGATTAGAGAGGCGTAGTGCCGTTGTTTTTAGAGACGTTGAACTGCACTCACTGCAGAAAACCGTAGCGACACGAGTGCCAAAACTGTGCCACACGCCCTCCCGCATTGTCCTTTTACTTTTGATTCGGTTCAGAATCGATTTCATTTTGATGATGTAAACGTACGCAATCGGAACGGGAAACGGGTTTAAATGATGTCAGGGGGAGATGTGGCCCGGTGGCTCGCAGATCGGAGGCCCCTAAGTTGGCATTGCTGGGGAGCCTCGTGATTAAACGGTGTTATCTTCCCGGTCACCATTGACAGCACATAAAAAAACAGAAAAATCACCTAAAATGTACACATTTCACCGCTTGTTGAATGAAAAAAATGTAGGTTTGCTTGTCGTGTAGGCGGCGCCAACATCTGATAGCGAGCGTGGCCGTTCACCGTGTAAGCAGGGCTAGTGGCAGAGTGGGTGTGGCTGTGTAAGAGTGATTGGGGCTGAAGGAGGAGGAAGAGGCTGCCAACTCACCACGTGACCCATTTGAACCTTCCAGGAAGTTCAACAAATCCTTCCCCCCCCCCCCCCCCCCCCCCATATCCGACGCATTTACTTTGGCGATCAGTCGAATGCGACGATCATGATCGTTTCAGGTCTCTGATTGGCACGGTTGGCTGCGTATGGCGCGAAAGAAGTTCAAAATACATCTACATGTGCACGTACACACACCCTCTGTTATCCATAAGAGGTGTTTTGGGTTAAATCACTAACATATTAATGTGTCGTTAAACCCGTACGGGTCTCACGTAAGTAAAATATGCCAATTAGTTACTAGTTCAGCACACCAGTGTGTTGGAGAGTCAACACATTTATATTTACGCGATATAACCCAAAAAAACCTCTAATATGGATAATACCCTCCGTTATGTCACTGTCGAAATGTAGCTCAAATCGGCACCGTGTCACCCTTGTTGAAGTTACACAGTCTTAAAGGAAACTGGAGTCACGTGAATAACACAACAGCACGAACCTCTGGCTACATTCGCGTGCCGGTTTAACCCGATGAGGTCTGTTCCTCCCCCCTCCCCCCCGCAGCGGTGCGAGCATTGCGGGCGCATGGGCGCCACCGTAGGCTGCTGCCTGCCCGCGTGCCAGGCCAACTTCCACTTCATGTGCGCCCGCGCCCGCAGCTGCGTCTTCCAGGACGACAAGAAGCTCTATTGCCAGCGGCACAAGGACCTCATCCGAGGGGAGGTGCGTGGAAGCGAGCGAGTGAGCGATCGTCATCAGCGGCATCATCATCACTTAGGGTGCCGCGAGATGTTGACTAATTCCCTTGCCTGGTATTGCAGGAGGTCGTGGGTTTGATCCCGACCCTAATGCCTGCTGTGTATTTGGAGTTTGTGTGCTCTCTCTCTCTCCCCGTGGTCGCGTGGATTTTACTCCTGGTCCTCCAGTTATTCCCGCTACATTTAGATCAATGTGCATTTAGGGTATTTGGCTGCTGTCTATTTTTCCACGTGATAAGCCACTTCCTTGAGCTATCATTTGTGATCGCCAGGTCGTTTCTGAAAAGAGCTGTATAGCTCAGTGGGCCTTACTTGATCAAATAAAAATAGTTTAGTTTTTAATTAACTTAATATACATGCCGTGCCTCCCATGCGGTATATCTCGTGGCGCCTTGTGGCAGTGGACCCCTCAATAGCAGCTCTCACTGTGTGGCGCAAGGTGGACGTTAGTTTGTCAGCACGCGGCGATGTTGCCACGTGCCTTCGTAATTCAATCGTTCGTCCACGTGAAGCCCCAGGAGGCACACGGCAGCGCTGACGGCTGTGCCGTGATGGGAATTCACAACGAGCTTGAAGCCGGCTGCGCAGTTGACCCCCTTTGTCCTGCTGCCGCCTAAAATAATGTCCGCAATTGAGAACCTTGCTGGTGTGCATGAGTACGCACCGAGTGTGGTAAGGACACACGGCATGCAAGACTTGCTGCTAGTGCTGTGCCTGTGGTCGCAATTGTGCCTTTTACTCTCCAGAAATCACCGTTTGTGTGTGTGTGTCATTACTCGTGCTGTGAAGAGTTGTTCGGATGACCCGTCGGCGATTGGCCTCACTCCTTCGGCGGTTCCGGGGGCTCGTCGTCGCTGCTGTCGGTGATGGGCCAGCTGTGGCACTGACGTCGCTTTCTCCCCCTCCTCCCCTTTCCTCCCCATCCTCACCCCCCCTGCACTTCCCGTGTTGTCCGCTGCGTATCCCCGTGTTGTCCCCGCGCACGCAGGTTGTGGCGGAGGATGGGTTCGAGGTCCTGCGTCGCGTCTTTGTCGACTTCGAGGGGATTGGCCTTCGTCGGAAGTTCCTCTCCGGCCTGGAGCCCGACAAGATCCAGATGATGATCGGTGACTGCAGCCTCCACCGCTATCGCCGTCTCTGCCATCATCTTTGCCACCTTGAGAACCGCCACTACAACCACTGTTGTCCGACGCCACCGTGATGAATCATTACGCAAATAGTTAAAAGTGATACATTTTTCTAAACTTTTCCAAATGTGTAACGGTGCTCAGGAGGGGCAGTTGATCTTTTTAAGACGTTTTGTCTAACCCAGGGGTCGGCGACCAAAATGAACATGGACCATTTTCTTTCTAATTCGGTAAAACACTCAATATTTCAAGAGCCGCAACACACGTGAAGAACGTCACGGAGAACTCCTTAAAGAGCCGCGTGCGCACATTGCCGACCCCCGGTCTAAACCGACAATGTTGAACATTCCCAGTGCCTAGAATACACAGTGGTTTGTTACGATCCGTTCTTCACCGCCGTGTGTCCCCTGCGCGTGGCGTGATTCAGGTTCTCTGACCATCGAGTGCCTGGGCGTCCTCAATGACCTGTCGCTCTACGAAGGGAAGCTCTTCCCCATTGGATATCAGTGAGTGACGCGTTTAAGCTTTCCCAACGCAGAAAGACGCACCACATCTTTGCCGTTGGGCATCCAGATGTTTGCGAGCGCTCTCGGATAAAGTGCTGCACTCGGACGGGTGCGTGGTAGGGGCGGTGTGTTCCTGGTTTTTTAGATTGTCAAGAAAAATCAGAAATATCAGAGGGGTTCAGAAAACAACACTTCGCACGATCCGAAAATGTTTTCCTCGGATTAATCCAAAAAATGTGACAAGACAGGAATTTTAGTGAGTTGATGTTCTCAGCCCAGCCGTCAGTGACGTCTCTCTCTCCGTCCCGCCGCCGCCGCCGTAGGTGCACGCGTGTCTACTGGAGCACGGCGGACGCACGCCGCCTTTGCGTCTACACCTGCAAGGTGCTCGAGTTCCGTCCGGAGAGCACTACCACGGACGTGAACAGCACGCTCATCCACGGGGAGAACCAGACCATCACGCACAGCCCGCCGCCACCCACCGCCGCCGGTACGCCACGGCTAGCGTCATTGGCCTCACCTAGGTTGACTCGGCCTTAACGGAGTACCTTGTTCAATGTGTAAACGTCAACGCTGGGGATACAGAGGCTGGGGATACAGAGATGTTGAACTTCTTTCGCTCCCTATGTAACCAACAGCGCTGATCGTAGGTGCGGGGAGGAGGACAACAATCGTGCCGACCTTAATAGCCGGTCGCTAACACCACACGCCCCAACAAAAACAGTCTGTATGGCTACACGGTGGGCCAATCTTTGTTTTTGCACGCGCAACACGCAGGAGGCTTGGACGTGGTGATGACAGTGCAGTGCTCGGTGGCACCCATGGCGCGCCCGTGCCCAGCTCCCCGCCCCAGTGTGCCCACCAGCTTCTCGCCGACGCGACGACCTTTGCCCTCACCGGGTACGTTCCCATGCCCTCGTCAACGCTCGTTCGTTGCACCACAATGTTGTTAACCGTCGCGGGTGGTCAAATCCACGATGGGGAAAACTTGCGATGTGGGGCAAGCTTCTTGGCATATTTAAAAAGCGAGTGATGATGATCGCGATGTGTAAAAGTAAAACTAAACTATTTTTTATTTTACCAGGTAAGGCCCCACTGAGCTATATAGCTGCTTTTCAGAAGTGACCTGGCTATAACAAATGATTGTCCAATGAAGTGGCCCTATCATGTGGAAATTGATATCAGCCAAATACTCCAAATGCACGTTTATAAATGTGGAGGGAAAAACCAGAGGACCCGAAGAAAGAGCCACGTCACCATGGGAAGAGAGACACTCAAACTCAAAATTTTCAGGCGTCACTTGGGGATCAAACCCACGTGGTGCCCTTAATAACAAACGCACGCTGTCAGAAAAAATGCGACGTCACACGATCGCCTTGTGCCCACAACTACAGAAAATGTTTTTACAAATAACTAACTTTAGTGGGGGATAGTTGGTTTACCTTTAGACCTTCGATCATTATGGTTAAAGTTTTACTGCATCGTAGCAACCCCAGCGATGCGCTTTGTTGTTGTGTGGCAGGCGGCTCTCCCAGCAGGAACTCGCACATCCTGGCGATCAGCGATGGCGTCGTGTCGCCCACGCGGCGCAATGTCGCGGTACGTCGTCCCGCCCCGCTCCCCTCGCCAGGGCACCACCACCTCCTGCTGCACGCCCAGCACGGCAAGCTGCAGCAGAGGCAGCAGCAGCAGCAACAGCTGCAGCAGCAGCAAGAACGACTGCAGGACAAGTCACAGCTTGACAAACAGCTGCTAGAAAAGCAGCAGCAGCAGAGGGTGCAGCAAGAGAAGCAGCAGCAGCCAGAGAAGCAACACAAACAGCAGCAGCCGGAGGGACTGTCATTAGATAAACAGCAGAGACAGCAACAAGTCAAACAACCAGAAAAACAAAAGCAACAGCAGCAGGACAAACAGCAGGAGCGGCAGCAGCAAGATAAGCAACAGCAGAGGCAAGACAAGCAGCAGGCGGAAAAGCAACAGCAAAGGCAGCAGCCGGAGAAGGAGCAGCAAAAACAGCAGCCTGAAAAGCAGCCAAAGCAGCAGATGGAGAAGTTGCAGCAGAAACAGCAGGACAAGCAGCAGCAGTTGGAAAGGCAACAGCCAAAACAACAGCTCGAAAAGCAACCGCAGAAACTGCAGGACAAGCAGCAGCCGGAAAAGCAGACGCAGCAGCAGAAACAGCAGTTGGAAAAGACACAAAAGCCACCACAAGAGAGGCAGCAGCAGCAAGAAAAACTGAAAGAGCAGCAGCTTGAGAAGCAGCCACACAAACAGCAGGACAGACAGCACACGGAAAGGCTACAGAAGCAACGTCAGGAGAAGCAGCAAAGGCAACCACAACCGCAGCAGCAGCAGCACAAGCATCATGAGAAGCCGTCTCCGTCAAAACAGCCAGCAGAGAAACAGTTGAAACAACAGTCATCAGAGAAACAGCCGAAACAACAGCCTTCAGAGAAACAGCCAAAACAACTGTCAACAGAGAAACAGCCAAAACAACAGCTGGCAGAAAAACAGTCTAAACAACAGCCATCAGAGAAAACTCCGAAACAACAGCCAGCAGAGAAACAGTCTAAACAACAGCTGGCAGAGAAAAGTCAGAAACAACTGTCTACAGAGAAACAGCCAAAACAACTGTCAACAGAGAAACAGCTGAAACAACAGCCAGCAGAGAAGGGTCAGAAACAACAGCTAGCAGAGAAACCGTCTAAACAACAGGTGGTAGAGAAAAGTCAGAAACAACAGTCATCGGAGAAACTTTCTAAACAGCAGTTGGCAGAGAAACAGTCTAAACAACAGCCGGCAGAGAAAACTCCGAAACAACAGCTATCAGAGAAACCATCTAAACAACAGTCAGCAGAGAAACCATCTAAACAACAGCTGGCAGAGAAAAGTCAGAAACAACTGTCAACAGAGAAAGTTTCTAAACAGCAGCTGGCAGAGAAAACTCCGAAACAGCTCGCAGAGAAACCGTCTAAACAACAGCTGCCAGAGAAAAGTCAGAAACAACTGTCTACAGAGAAACTTTCTAAACAGCAGCCGGCAGAGAAACAGTCTAAACAACAGCTGGAAGAGAAAAGTCAGAAACAACAGCCAGCAGAGAAACAGCCAAAACAACTGTCAACAGAGAAACAGCTGAAACAACAGCCAGAAGAGAAGGGTCAGAAACAACAGCTAGCAGAGAAACCGTCTAAACAACAGGTGTTAGAGAAAACTCCGAAGCTCCTGTCAACAGAGAAACCGTCTAAACAACAGCCGGCAGAGAAAAGTCCGAAACAACAGCTAGCAGAGAAAAGTCCGAAACAACTGTTTACAGAGAAACTGTCTAAACAACAGCCGGCAGAGAAAACTCCGAAGCTCCTGTCTACAGAGAAACCGTCTAAACAACAGCCGGCAGAGAAAACTCCGAAACAACAGCTAGCAGAGAAAAGTCCGAAACAACAGCTGGCAGAGAAAACTCCGAAACTCCTGTCTACAGAGAAACTGTCTAAACAACAGCCGGCAGAGAAAACTCCGAAACAACAGCTAGCAGAGAAAAGTCAGAAACAACTGTCTACAGAGAAACTATCTAAACAGCAGCTGACAGAGAAAAGTCAGAAAACACAGACAGCAGACAAAAGTCCGAAACAACAGCCGCCAGAGAACCCGCTGAAACAACAGCATACAGATAAGCAGCTTAAACAACAGCATGTAGAGAAGCAGTTAAAACAACAACAGCAGGCAGAGAAAAGTATGAAGCAGCCACCAGAGAAGCAGCTTAAACATCCAGAAAAACAGCAAGAGAAGCATCACCAACAGAAACAGCAGTCCCAGCAGAAACAGCCACAGCAGAAACAGGATCGACCAGACGAGAAGGAGCATCAGAAACAACAGCAGCAGCAGCAGCACGAGAGACAGCACGAGTTGCCACCACAAAAGCCACAGCAAGACAAGCCACGTGAGTTACAGCAGAATCAGCAGCAGCAGCAGGCGCCACAGAAACCGCAAGAGCAACACGTGGAAAAGCAGCAGCAACAGCAGGTTCACCAGCAGCTGAAACCACAGCACAAGCAGCAGTCTTTGACTAAACTACCAGACAAGCATCAGCAAGCCCCCTTTCCACAAAAGCAGCTCCAACATAGCCTACAAGAGAAACAGTCAGACAAGCAGCACAGGCAGCATCAGCTCACCCAACAGAAGCAGCTTCCCAGGCAGGAGAAGCCACAGCAGCAGCAGCAGCCGCAGCAGAGACAGCAAAAACAGCAGCCGGGCCAGCCTGAAAAACCCCATCAACAAAGGACGCAACAGCCAACGCAAAAACAGGTGCACGGCAGCCAAGACAGCCAGCAGGAGAAACGACAGCAACACTCGCAACCGAGGCAGCAGCAGCAGCAGCAACAGAAAGCGGACGTCAAAACGCCCGCCCCCAAAGCGGCACCACACCCCCGCCCTTCCCTCAGCGTTTCCGCCCTGACGTTGACCACCACGGCGCACACGGCAGCGGCGGCGGCGTCTCTGCCGGCAAGCGGGCTCGGTGCCAGGATCCGGCAGCCGGCGCCGCCGCGGGGCAGGCAGCTCCTGCCGCCGGCGCCGCCGATCGGGCAGAGAATGGCGGCAAAACCTCCGTCGGCCTCCCCGTCGCCGGATGCCCGCCCGCAGGATAGACGCTCCGTCTCCAAGCCTGCTGGTGGCGCCGCTCTTCAAGCCGGGGCGGCACGGCGCACGTCGCCGGCCTCGTCCATCGTTGCGTCGGTTTGCTTGTCGTCATCGTCTTCGTCATCCGATGACGACGACGATAAAAAGAAGGGAGGGAGGGCGAAGAAACAAAGGAAAATGACGGCTGCGGAGGAGGCCATTTTGGCAATGCCCCTTATGGCCATCCCTCCGCGCCTGCCGGCTTTGGGTCAACAAGGTCGGCAGAGCACGGTCAAGCAGCCCCCTTCGCTCGGCACCACCCCAGCAACGGCTCCGGCAAAAGAGACTCCGGGCAAGCCGCCCAGAGGTGTCCAAACACCATCCGTCCTGCCGAAAGGGCCAGCGGTTGTCCCGGCGCCGGCAGCGGATGACGGCGATGAGGCGAAGAGGTTGAAGGAGGAGGCCCGCAGGGAGGTCGCTTTGGCAGCGACGGCGGCGAGGGTCGGGGGCAGCGGCGCCACCGCTGACGATTTGTGCCGCGAGGGCGATGGTGGAAAGGGACGTTCAAGCGAGGCGTTCGCGACCGCCCCGTCGGCCACGTCGGCCACGTCGCCAACGTCGGCCCCGTCGGCGCCGTCGTCAAAGCGGGACAAGAAAAAGAAGAAGAAAGACAGCGGCAAGAAAAAGACGAAGGACAAGGACCGGTCGAGGGAGAGGCGGAGGAGAAAGTCGGCCGAACGGCGGTCGCGCAGCGAAAGTGCTGGCAAAGCGGCGTGCGCCGCCGACGGAGAGGGCGACGGCGACAAGAAGCAGGGGCCCAAGTTGCTGCCGAGCGACGATGCCGGCAGCGGCGTCGGTTCCGGCATCGGATCTGGCAGCGGTGACACCAGGGCTCCGGGAGGAGAGCCGGCGTCGAGCGTCCCGTGCGACCGGAGGGATGAAGCGCTGCCAAAAGGAACCACGGTGTCCGTGGAGGCCTCGGCGTCGGCACCGGCGGGCGGACAGACGAGGGAGAAGTCGTCGGAACGTCGATCCGACGGTGCGGACGGCGTCAGGAAGTTCCCGTCCGTGGCAGTGGAGATGCAGCCGCCCTCTCTCGTTGCGGCGGCGGCGTCGGCGGATGGCGCGCTCGTCGGTGACGGCGAAACTCGGAGAGGTGGCGGTGAGAGAAGGTCACAGAGCAAGGTGCGCGGCGCCGGCGGCGGCGGCGGCGGCGGTGGCCCCGGTGGTGGCGCCGTCGGTGGCGCCTGTGTTTCCGGCGTTTCTGGATCAAGCGGCAAGAAGGAGCGGGCGAAGATCTCGAGCGACGGTGCCACGTCAGATGTCGCGCGAAGCGCAGACACTAGCCGGTCGGCTTCCCCGGCAAAGACGGGCGCAAAGTCAGGAGCGGAGGATTTGGAACCGGCTCGGCCGCCGGCGGCTGCGCCGGCAGAGCCGTCGGCGCAGCCGCCGGCACAACAGAGGGAGCCGCTGGAGTGTCCGCTGTGCGGGCAGTCGTACTCCAACAAGTCACAGTCGCGCTTCGAGCGGCACGTGGCGCGGTGCAGGCACCGAGCGAGGAAGTCCAAGAAAGGGAAGGAAGTGAAGAAATCGCAAACGGCAGAAGTTCCATCGGCGTCAACCACCACCACCACCACCACGAGCAGCACCACGAGCAGCAGCACCACCACCGCCGCCATCGCCACCGGTAGCAGCGTCGGTCACAAGGCTGACGGAGAATCTGAGAAAGACGTGACTGCAGAGGTGGCGTCGGAGCAAGCGCAGGCGCGCGAGGCTCGCCCGGAGAGACAGCCAGAAGAGATGCAAGGGTGCGATCGTGACGCGGACCCGCCACACGCACACCACCACCACCTTGCGGCAGCCGAAACCAGCCAAGCCGCTGAGACGGGCGTTGGGTCGCCCGAGCTCCAGGACGCAGTGCAGCCCGAGCGGCCGCACTCGCCGACACCCAGCGGTGAAGTGAGCGCTGGGCAGCAGCAGCAGCCGCAGCAGCAGCCTCAGCAGCAGCAGGAGGAAGAGGAGGAACCGGCGAAGGTGGTGACGCCATTGCGCCGTCGCTACCCGAAGCGGAGCGCCCGCGCCCGCTCGGCGACGTGCTACGGGCTGACGCCGTTTTACGGCGTGCGCTCCTACGGCGGCGCCGACGTCGGGGACGCCGGGGACGCCGGCGCCTCGCCCTACGTCTCCCGTGGCAGGAGGGGGGCAGGTGGCAGCAAGGACCCGGCTACGCGCGGGCAGACGGACGGAGCCGACGATTACGACGACGATGACGACGACGACGATGACGGCGAGGACGACGATGACGGCGATGGCGGTGGCGGAACCCGTGGCCGCTTTGGAGAGCGCAGCTGCTACTTCAGTTACCCGCGCACGGTGCTCGGGATGGACGAGGTGGGTGACAACGAGGAGCGATTAGGAGGAGGGAACTGGTTCGGCGAGGAGGCTCGTGGTGATGACTACCTGCCGCGAATCGGACAGTTTGATGGGGCTGCCGACGACGACGACGACGATGAAGACGACGATGATGACGACGGCAGCAGCACCAGCTCCGACAGCGAGGCTTCGTCGAGAGCGCCGTTTGACGACGACGACGACGGCAACAACCACGGATCCGACGCCGCCGCCGCCAGGTCGAGGAACGGCAGCGACGATGGCGCCGGTAACGGTGAGGAGGAAGAGGAGGACAATGAGGTCAACGATGACGATGAAGGCGACGATGACGATGGTGGCGACGATGACGACGACGCCGATGACACGGAGAGCAGCGACGGGGTCACTGATCGCAAACGACGCACGCACAGGCGCAGCGCCAACAGCGACGACGACGACGATAATGAAGATGACGACGACGACGAAACCAGCGCCGGCGGCGCCAGGCCCGGCAAGCACCAGGGCCACCGCATGCTGACCGGCCTTTCGGGCCTCACTCCACCAGGCGTTTCATTCGCGGGCGACGGTCTCCCTTTGGCGGCGGCACCAACGCCGGCGGCGGTGGCCACCACCGCCACCACCTCCTCCGCCACCTCCTCGTCATCGGCGGCGGGGTTGGCGCGGGCCGACGGTGACGCCGGTGCGGACACCTCGCCTCGCGGACCCTCCGACAAGGCCCTTCTGGAGAGCTTCGGTGCGGGCGGCTTTCCCGAATCGGTCATCGGTGCCATCAGCGATGACTTTGGCAACATCCTTCCGTCTGACATCATGGACTTTGTGCTGCGCAACGACCCCGTGCTGGATTCCAGCGAGGAAGCATCGGATCTGGTGGCCGGCGTGGTCGCTAGCGTGGTGGCCGGAGCCAGCACCGGCGGAGGCAGCGGCGCCGGCGCCGGAGCGGTAGCGGCGCCGGTTGTCTCGTCCGCGCAGGGGCCGGCCGCGGTCGCCGTGGAGCAAGCGGTGGTGCCGCCTCTGGGCACTGTCCTTGAGCCGTCGGAGGAGCTGGTGGCGGCCGTGACGGGCGGGAGAGGGATGGGCGGCGACGGCGAGATCGTGGCCAGCGGTGCGGCCGGCGTGGTCGCGGTCGCCGGGGTCGCGGGCGTTGGCGGCGGCGCCGGCGTTGGCAGGGAATCTGACGGCGAGCGGAGCAGCCTCATGGACATGCTGTCCCAGCAGCTCGCCGGCGTCCCGGCCGAAACGTCGGCCGTGATCGTCGGAGCTGACGGAACCGCGGCCTCCGCGGCGTCGCCGCCACCGGCGACGCCGTTCGGTGAACTTCCGGCCGACCTTTGCGTGCTGACCACGCACGGCCCGGGCGGCGTCGCCGGCGCCGCCCTCGTGACAGCAGCCGCAGCGACGGCCGGCGGCGGCGAAGGAGTGGCGTACGGTGCTTTGCCCGCATCGTCCGGCGGCGGTCCCTCGCCGCAGGCGGTCGTGCTCGGCGTCCCTGCGCGGGCGCAAGCGCCCGCCACGACCAACGCCGACATTTTCGCGGCGCTGGCAGGCGTCCACCCTGCGGCAGGGAGCGATGAGACACCGACCGTCATCTCTCCGGGGTGCTGCCCCGGCGCTGGCGCCGTGGCCGCCGTCCCCACCGCTCAGCAGCAGCAGCAGACGGCACCGTCGGCAGTCTCGTCGTCGGTGACGGCGGCATCGCCGTCCGTCGTCGCTCCGGCAGAATCGCTCATCCCGCCGGCAGCCCCCGCTGGGGAGGAGCGCGACGGCGCCCGGGGCTCCTTCGCGTCGCCCCTCTTGGGCGCTTCCATCGCCGTCGCCGGCGGCGCCCAGACGGTGCCGACCGCCGCCGAATCCCTGTCGGTGGCGCCGCCGCAGGCGTCGGCGCTCTCCTTCGGGCCGCTGATCGTGGTGGACCAGAATGGGCAGCCGCTCTACATCCTGCAGCCGCAGGCGTGCGGCGAAGGGCTCGGCGCCGGTTTCGCGCTGGCGCCTCAGCCGTCCGTGAGCTCGACCGTGCAGCAAGCGCTCCCGTTCGGCGTCGAGATGGCGCTGACGGCCGGAACGGCGCCGGGCTTCTTGCAGCCGACGTCGGTGGCGGGGGTCGGCACGGGAGTGTCCGGCGCCCAAAGCTTCGTGGGCTCCAACTTCGTGCTGACATCTTCGCCGGTGACGCTCAGCGCTCAGACGCAGAACTTCGTCTTGGGTGCCGGCATGAGTTCGCTGCTGTCGCAGCAGCAACAGCAGCAGCAGCTGGAGAGAGCCTTCGCCGGGCTCGGCCAGCAGCTGGGCAACGCCGTCACGAGCACGGGCGCCGCCGCGTACCTGACCCCTGGCGCCGTCCAGCCGGTCGGCACGCAGGCGGTGCTCGCGCCCTTCGGCACGCAGCTCTCGCTGCAGGAAGCCGGCATCGGCATCAACGCGGCGCTGACGGTTCCTGCGGCGCTTCCTCACCACCAGCAACAGCAACAGCAGCAGCAGCACGCCGGCGCACAGCTATCCGCGGTGGCGGCGCCAGCGCAGGCTCGCGTCGGGGCCGGCGCGAGTAAGAGGCCCGCCAGCGGGAAGTCGTCGGGTGCCGCGCGGAGGAATAAGAAGATAGCGCCGTCTTCGCGTGCCACGGAGCCGGCTGGGCCCAACATGGCTCTGCTCAATTTCACGCCGGCTGTTCAGACGGAGGCGAGCGGCGGCGGCGGCGCCGTGGCCGGGGGCGCCGACTCGGCAGCCCGGCCCATTCAGCGCACGCTGCCTGCCATTCTGCGGCGCTCGCAGTCGGGTCTGCTGTACCTAGAGCAGCAGCAGCAGCAGCCGGTGCCTTCCTCGGCCGCCCTAATTAACCCGGCGCTGGCGTTCGGGGCCCAGGCGGTTTCCGGATTTACCAGCGCTGCCGTCTCGTCGGTCGCAGACCCATCCGTTTCGTCGGCGGTCAGCACCGCGCTGACCATGAACGTGATGAGCCTCATCCCAACGCAGCAGCAACAGCAGCAGCAGCTCAGTGCCGCGTCCGCTGCCTCCATCTTCGGACCGTTGCTGGCGGCCGGCGGAGCCGGCAGCGCCTCGTCCATCGTCGCTTCCTCAACCGCGTCGCCAACCTCCGCAGCGCCCTCTTCGTCGTTAACTTCTTCGCTGCTCGGAGCTGACGCGCAGCCAGGCGGGATCAGCGGCCTGCTGCTCAAGGCGAGCCAGCAAAGTCTTGGTCTGAACCAGCAGCAGCAGCAGCAGGCGCAGAGCCACATGCACCTGCAGTCGCAGCTTCACCACCAGCAGCAGCAGGCGGTGCCGGTGTCACTGGGCGCCTCCCTGCTGTCGCAGCTGTCGCACGACTGCGCGTCGGCGCAGCAGTTTGGCGCGGCCTGCCCGCTGCAGCCGCCCCCGTCGCACGACGCCCTGAGGACAATCAGCACGGTCGACGGGCGCGCCATCGGGGTCATGACCTCGCCGCTCGACCTCCCGCTGCCGCAGCCGCCGCACGCCCACGGCCAGGGTCACGCCCAGGGTCACCAGGCGGCCTTCTGCCGGGGCGGTGGCGGCGAGCCGACCCCGTCGCACGGTCACCACCGCGCTCGCGGCAAGCGGGCCGGCTCGCCGGCGCCGGGCAGTGCCGGCAAGAGGGCCCGCGGAGTCCTCGTGTGGACCGACGCCTTCGGGGTGCAGCACGGCATGTTGGGGGCGGCGGCGGCGGTGGCGGCGGCGGCGGCGGCTCCGTCACCGGCCGCGGTGGCATCTTCGTCGATGTCTTCGTCGTCCTCGTCGTCGTCGTCGTCCTCGTCGGTGTCGTCGTCGTCTTCGTCGTCGCCGTCGGCTGGGGCCACGGCCGCGATGACGAGGTGAGGGGCAGGGGGTGTTACAGAGGTGGCAATTTGTGGATTTGTCGAGTCGATACAAAAAATTGCGGTTGCAGTCGATGAGCACAGACCCAAAAGGCCTAAAATCTGAGGCTGTCGACAAAAATAGCACGACTAAAGGTGTAATGTGTAAGAGTTCAGAACGGGTTTCTTAATTCGAACAAGGGTTCTGAGAATTCCAAAGTGGAGCAGTGTGAGGAAAGGAGCCGTAAGAGAAGTGTTTTGACCTTCGGCACGATATGTGTGGATGTATGTTGAACTTGTTTTGCACCGTACATTTTTATTTCTTTGCGTCCGTTTGCGTTTTCCCGTTGCAGCGCCGCGTCGCTGTCGAGCGCCGAGCAGGCGGTGCCGCAGCCGATGGCGCCCGACGCCCAGGTGGAGCTGTACGGGGACGTGGGCGGCGCCGTCGGGGACGTGGAGGAGATGGACGGAACCGGCGCGGTGCACGCCGCTCACGGCGACTGCGAGAGGTTCATCAATGGTACGGCCCCGCCCCGCCGCCGTTGTCAAACACGCGCGCCTGCTTGCGTGTGCATGCCGAAACACGCGTGTGCGTGCCGAAACATGCGTGTGCGTGCCGAAACATGCGTGTGCGTGCCGAAACACGCGTGTGCGCACTCGCGCGCGAGCAACCGACCTCAAAAGAGAAATGCACTAGTGCACGCACGCGCGCGCACACACACGTGTACACTCACGGACACGTACAAAATGTGTCTTTAGTTTGTTGTCTTCCCCCGCCCTCCGCCGCATCTGCCGACTAGCACGGTTGACTCCGTACGATGCGAAAGAAGTTCGAAGTTCAGCATACATACATTCATATAAAGTTAAAGGTCCCCCGTGTAGCCTTAACAGACTGTTGGAGCAAGTGCTGTTAGCGAGCACCTATGAAGGCCGGCACGGCACACTTGGGTTTGGGCGGCCAACGCCACGCTCTCCAGTGGCGATGTTCACACAGCCCACCAGGTGCTCATTTGAGGCCGAGTCAGCCGAGGGAAACCCAGGACCGGTTCAGATAATCGTCACTGGTGTTGGCCGTAAGCGAGAATCGAACTTAGGTTGTCGGTTTCGTAACGCAGCGCGCTAACCTCGACACTACCGCCGCCCATGCACAGACGCACGCACTCAAGACGCTTGCACACAAACGAGAAACGTCATACATGCGCAAAAACCAGTTTCCAACAAAACTTGCATCCGACTCTTCTCCCTTGCACCTCCTAGCCGGCTGCGACGACGACGACGAGGAGGACGACGACGAGGACTGCGATGAGGACGCCGGCGACGTGGTGCACACGCTGGAAGCTGACGCTGAGGAAGAGGAGGTGGGGGGGGAGGAGGAGGAGGGGGAGGATGAGCAGCAGCAGCAGCAGCAGGAGGAGGAGCAGCAGCAGCAGGAGCAGACGGTCGGCGACGACGACGACGTCGGCGGTGACGACGGCGGCGAGGAGGTGGCGTTCTCGTCCCCGCTGCTGGTGCTGCGCGAGCGGGAGGAGCGCGAGGAGGAGACGTGCGGCCGCTGGGAACGCCGCCGCAGCAAACCGGGCCTCCTCTTCGAGATCACGAGCGACGACGGCTTCAGCACCACGTCGCACTCCATCGACGGTGACGCTTTGCAAACCGTCCGCCACCCGCCCGGACTTGTCTGTTGCGCTCGGCGCAGTGACGCTCCGCACCGGCCAGGTGGCGCCGGCCACCGCTCGCTGCGAAATACTCGCGGCAGTGGGATTTTTTTTTTCTGGGGTTATACTCTCCAACACACCGTTGTGCTGAAGTCGCAACTCGAAACGCGTGATGTTGATTCTGAATGTGGAGGGATAAACCGGAGGTCCCAAGGAAAAATCCTTGCGACCACAGGGAGAAAAACATGCAAACTCCAAAGGCATCAGAGTCGGGATCAAACCCACGACCTCCTGTATACCAGGCGAGGTAGTTAACATCTCACCACCGTGAAATCCCTATTTTTTAGCAGGATGAAAACCATTGGTATTATTGAACTCGCTCGCTCGTTCATCCACTCGCCCATCTCGTCCGTCATCCTTGCCTCGTCTCTCTCTGTCTCCAGTAATTACATCTCAGTCGGTGAGGTCTTCACCAGTCTCCTAAAATTGCGTGCCCGTGCGTGTGTCTCTCCGCGTATCTCCCCGTGTCTCTCCCCGTGTCTCTCCCCGTGTCTCTCCCCGTATCCCCGCTTGTCTCCTCCACGCGTCTTGGCGTCTCCGCCCCCCGTACAGAAGCGTGGAAGGCCGTGACGGACCGGGTGCAGGAAGCGCGAGCCAACGCTCGCATGAAGCAACTCTCCTTTGCAGGTGGGATCCTTCAAACTGTGAAAAAACTGTGAGAAAAAGGGCTTCGTAGCTCATCGGATTTCTCCAGGATAAATAAAGATTCTAATTCTGAAACCCCCCTCACTCCCCCTCACACCTCCCCTCATCCTCTTATGACCCCCACCCCCCCTGGACCTCACACCACCCCTCCCCCCCGAGCCCTATCACGCGCTGTTTACTTGTACGTTCATTGCTTTGGCAAATTCACCCAGAATGCACTTGATCTCATAGGATCTCGGAAGCTAAGCTGGCTTTTTGATCAGGTTTTTAGACATCCATAATAGACAACATATTTCTTTGTATTATAACGCGTTAAAATATATAGTATTTTTTTCTTCCACGGAATACAACTGGATTCTACTTTGCTACATTAACCGCAGGTGACTGTCGGGTTTTGAACACACCAACTCTGCAAGTTTGAGCTCAGGGATTTGACCTCCGAACCGCCCAGTCAGCTGACCCAGCAATGCGTGTCTCGATATTCATGGTCTCTCATGGCGATTGATAAAAATCAGCGAATTTCTCTAATCGCACTTGAGCGGGGCGACACAAGTTCGATTCCCACTCGCGTCCAACACCAGTGGCGATTATCTGAACCGCTCCTGGGCCTCCCCTTGGTCGACTCGGCCTCAAATGAGTCCCTGGTGCGATGGAAGACAAATGCGGACGGGCGGGCGGGCTTGCTGCTGGCCACCCACCGCCTCGTGTGCCGTTCCGGCCTTCTCAGGCACCACACGCTAACGGTACTTGTTTCCCAACAGTCTATTGAAGGCTATACCGGCGGGGGGGGATCTTTGTCTTTGCTTGTGCGTCAGGTGTGAGCGGCGTGTGCATGCTTGGGCTGGCTCACCACGCCGTCATCTACCTCATCGAGCAGCTGGTGGGCGCTCACGCGTGCCGGGGATACAAGTTCTGCTTCCACCAGCAGCACGAGGCGGCCGAGCTGCCGCTGAACCCGCACGGTTGCGCGCGCGCCGAGGTTTACCAGCGGTACGCGCCAGCGGGGGCTATCGCCTCGTACACAAATGCGACGAGGATTTCACCTCTCGGATAGAGCCCCGCTTTACAATAAGAATGTACGGATGTTTGTGTGTGTGTTAGCTTCTTTCACGCCGTACGTAGCCAACCGTGCTAATCGGAGGTGCGGGGGAAGGACAACAAACTAGACACAATAATGCGGTCAGAAAGAAATTCGTTTTCAATCGACATTTTAAAAGTGCATAGCCTCCAGTGGCATAAAATCATAAAAATTATTAAATAGTCATTATTTAATACGTAGACTTTCGCACCCAGTGTTACGTACTTTAGTTTAAATCGCGTATGGGTATAATGATTAACGGTGTTAATCATAATAAAATGTACGTCTTGTGAAGAACAATCGATTGTCATAGAGCCGACGGGTTATAATTTACCATCCGGGGCCTATGGGATAACCGCTGAAAGCAGGTATCCTCTATGGTTGCAGTCGACAGTTTGTTATTCCGTCGGGGATAACAGAGCGGCATCTCCCGCCACAGGCAATCGTCCTTCGACATGTTCAACTTCCTGGCGTCGCAACATCGAGCTCCTCCGCCGTACAACCCCCACGAGGAGGAGGAGGATGAGATCCAGCTCAAGTCGGCTCGGTTCGCACGCCCGTGGCTCATGCTCGCCTGCTCCCTCGCTCCCTCGCCGTCTCTCTCTCTCGATGTCTCTCCCTCCCTCGCTCCCTCGCTCCCTCGCTCCCTCACTCCCTCGCTCGCTCCCTCCCTCCCTCCCTCGCTCACTCACTCGCTCCCTCCCTCCCTCCCTCGCTCACTCACTCGCTCGCTCCCTCCCTCCCTCCCTCGCTCCCTCGCTCCCTCGCTCCCTCGCTCGCTCCCTCCCTCCCTCCCTCCCTCGCTCACTCACTCGCTCGCTCTTTCGCTGTCCCTCCCTCCCTCGCTCCCTCCCTCGTTCGCATGCTCCCTCGCTCGCTCCCCCCCCCTCACTCGCTCGCTCGCTCGCTGTCCCTCCCTCGCTCCCTCGCTCGCTCCCTCCCTCCCTCGCTCCCTCGCTCGCTCCCTCCCTCCCTCGCTCGCTCCCTCCCTCCCTCGCTCGCTCGCTCCCTCCCTCCGCCCCTCACTCGCTCGCTCGCTGTCCCTCCCTCCCTCGTTCCATTCACCCATCCCTTCCTCACTTACTGCTTTCCTCCCTCTCTCTCTCCTCTCCATTCTTTGTAACCTCAATACCGACCCTCCTGCCCCCCACCGCCCCTTCATCCATTCCTCTTTCCCTCCCTCCCTACATCCCGTCCGCTCACCCACTCACCATCGCTTACCACCGATTTGCTCGATTTTGCGGTTAAAGAACTTGTCGCCGATGGAACCGGCTGGGTGAGCAGTGGATGTTGCGATGCCGTTTACAGTCGTGCCACCAGTATGGATCTGCCCATGGCGATGCGCTTTCGCCACCTGAAGAAGACATCCAAGGAGGCCGTTGGCGTTTACCGGTAATGGCAAATGAGCCAACTTTAAACACACCGCCGATCATCTCCCCTAATCGTAACGAAACAGCCAAACGAGAAACTCGTCTCACGCTCCGCACTCGCCACATCGGCCAACCTGACGCTATGACCCTAACCCTAACAACACTCAGCAGCTGGGCAGTAAACATTGACCCCTAACCACACGAACCGCAACTAGGCATTAATCCTCTCCGCTAACTGTAGCCACACGAGCCAACCAGACACTCGTGATGTCCACGAGCTCTAACCACACCAGCCAATTGAACTCTAACCCTAACCACAGAAACCAGACAGACACTAATCCTTATCCCTCACCATAATCACACGAGCCAACCAGACACTCTCCCTAACCATTAATCCTAGCTATACTAGTCAAGTATAAACAGCTTTACCTATAATCATAACCAGACTTAACAAACCCTGTCCTTCACTTTGTCCCTTACCACGCTACTAATCAGACCATCGCCTTACTTGGAAAAAAAACAACAAACCCACACAACCGGCCCGTAGCGCTAACCCCCACAAATTGTAGCCCACCTCTGGTGCTTGCATGGCACCTTTTTTCACTCTGAATTAGTTTTTTACTTTCAGTGCTCTCAGCAGGACCTGATTGGTGTGCACCTACATACGCGTGTGTGTGTGTGCGCGCGTTCGTGTGTGGGGAGCGGTCGTGTACCGGTTGGCACGCTCCGCTACGAACCCCCGGCGACCCAAGTTCGATTCCCGCTCACGGCCACCACCAACACCGGTGACGATTATCTGAACCAGTCCTGGGCCTCCCCTCGGGCGAATCGGCCTCAAACGAGTACCCGGCACGGTGTGTGGTAAATATCGCCACTGGGGAGACAAAAGCGGCCTTCATAGGTGCTGCTGCTCGCTAAAAGCACTTGCCCCAACAGTCTGTTAAGGCGATACGTGGGGTGTGGGGGGGAATCTTTGTCTTTATAGCTCTGCCATACACGGGCGGGGCCTGTTCTGCAAGCGCAACATCGACGCCGGAGAGATGGTCATCGAGTACTCGGGCATCGTCATTCGCTCGGTGCTCACCGACAAGCGGGAGAAGTATTACGACAGCAAGGTGGGCGAGAGCGGCACTCTCCGTACGATGAGTCGTACCCTTGGGCTCCGGCTTGATTCCCACTTGCACCGCCGGCATCATGAGATGAGGTGTCTTTTTGTTGCAATTGTTGAGAATCGGAATTAGAATATTTCTGGAGACTGGAGGGATACGATGAGTTCTAAGGCTCTTTTCACAGTTCCTTCGTGATAAGCAATCCTGTGGATATTCTAGATTTGAAGCTTTCGTGACTGCAAGGATTCATACTCTTAGTTTTTTCGGTAAAGTCACGTAGGTAATAAATGAAATTAAAATTAATAAAAGTAATAATGAAAATAACATTTTTTTTTTAAAAATCACGACGTTTCGGAGGCAACACAAGTCTGTGACGGTCCCACCTGATGACGGAGACTTGTGTTGCCTCCAAAACGTCGTGATTTTTTAAAATTATTATTTTATTTCTATTATTACTTTTATCAATTTTAATTTCATTTTTTACCTACGTGACTTTACCGAAAAAATAAGAATATAGTTCTGTGCATAGTCTGGTCACCACCATAGAAATGTGGAATTTCCACCATTGTTGGCTCTCAAGCAGGAATGCAGTTGAGCATCGACAAGTGTCCGTGTGCTTCGTCTCTGTGGGCCAGTGTGACATCTTTACATCTTTATATATTACGTGGTATTACCATTGTGACACGAGGTGCTGCAGTGCGTCGTCCCGTGTTATAGAGCGGCCCTCCGGAAGAAGCAGAACTGCTCCTGGATTCGCTTCCAATGCCCTCCTATGCAGACGAGAGGCAACCGCTGTCTCCACTGCCGTCCTCACGACTGTCCCCGCCGCTCTCCCCGCCGCCATCTCCCATCGCAGGGCATCGGCTGCTACATGTTCCGCATCGACGACTTCGAGGTGGTGGACGCCACGATGCACGGCAACGCGGCGCGCTTCATCAACCACTCGTGCGAGCCCAACTGCTACTCGCGTGTGATCGGCGTTGACGGCGCCAAGCACATCGTGATCTTCGCGATGCGGCGGATCGCCAGGGGCGAGGAGCTCACCTACGACTACAAGTTCCCCATCGAGGACGCCGGCTCCAAGCTGCCGTGCAACTGCGGCGCCAAGCGATGCCGCAAGTTCCTCAACTGAGAGACGCTGAGCTGTACTTGCGCCGCTTCCCCCCCCCCCAGCGCATCCCCCCCCACCCCCCCCCGTGTCCGGCACGAGAGGAGGGACGGACGCGTCTCGCTGAAAGGGGGGGAGCAGAGAGTCGCGACGGCATCGTTGGCGGCGCCGCCGATCGCCGGATCGGACGACCGGGTTGTGCGACCGCGACGACGACGGAGTTGGTCGGGGACTCGATGGGAGAAGTGAAGTCTCACGTCCGTGTGCCTCGGAGCTGAGGGGCGGCGGCGGCGGCGATGGACCCGCCGAGCTCTGTACGAACTGCCCCCCCATGTCTTGCCGGTTTGAAGCACGGGGCCGATTGATTTTTTTACCTGGGGTTCAACCGGTTGTTCCCGGCGCAACGTGCGCGAAGCTGGCCCGTGTTGGGTCGTGACCTCTGTGAACCTACCACGCCGTCGCGTGAAGAGGTCACGCGTAGCATATGACGTGGAAAGCAAGAGCTCGATTTGAGTCACGCTTCAACGATGATGATTTAACAACAACGAAAAAACACAAAAAAGAAGAAAAAAAACACGGCGGCACGTTTATGTAGCATCCCGTCAACGGATTTTGGAAATTGTATGGATAGTGTGTGCTCGGTCGTTGACAAAATCAAATGTACTCGGACTGAAACAGTACTTGCTCCTAACTTGCCAGGATGTGTCGTGGTAGGGTCACATACGTTGCGGACCGGGCCGTGCTGAGTTTTTTTTATTGCATATATATATTTTTATTCGTTGGGTTGACCATCGTCGAAATTCGTTGCCCTTGAGTGACCAGCCGGCCAGAAGGCCCCGCACCGACTTGTCCGGTTTGCCAGCACGGTAAAAAGTAAAATTCCGTTCCCTTTTGAGAGGAGAGAATTTTGCCGCCAAAATACATTTGCGAGATCTCGCCCCCCCATGCAGCGGTTTCCACGTGTTGCTACCGCCACTGACAACCACTGAAGTTCGTGTCCACGCGAAATCACGACCGTGTCGTGCTCTGCACGTTTGCCAGTGGGGGGGCGGTGGGGGAGTCCAGAGAGTGACCATTCGATTCCCACCCCCCCCCCCCCCCCCCCCCCCTTTGAATAAACCAAAGCGTGCCGTCTGCCGTACGGGGCGGACGTTAAAAGATTTGGAGACGCCATCGTCGTCACTCGCAATAGTCGATTCGTTGCTTGTCGATTGTCAAGATCCCAAGTACTAAATTTTATATATATACGCACAACTAAATTGTGATTTAAAAAAAAAATGTACTGTCCTTACGTGACTGCGGCACTCCGGGTCTCCAGTGCAAAAGATCTCGACCACGTTCTTAATTGGCTTTCAACCCGTTTGACGAAAGGGACTTTTTTTTCTTTCTATCGGTCCCCATAGGTCCGTGGCGAAAAAGCCAAGGATGTTGTCACGTGATTGGCATGGGCCCTAGGGCAGGCATTGAAGTGGGCCCACCTTGTCCAACCCCCCCCTCCCACTCCCTCCTCTGAGCCCGGTACCTGTGCACCCCCCCTCCATCCCGTGGGACCCCATTGCAATTGCAGCGTTCGCGTGCGAGAGGTTATAAGTTCCCATCCCGTCGAAGGGGGGGATGGGGACGTTGGCGTGGTGGGGACGTTGGCGTGGTAGAGGCGTTGACGAAAAGTAACTCCGCTTCTATGACATTGAAAAGTAGCCCCTTTTTTTTTGGGAAGATTGATCACTGCCACAAGGTTACAAAACGTCCACCAGTGGTTCGGGCTCCACCGATTGGGGGTGAACTCTTCTTGAGAGTTCAGGAGCGGTTGTACGGCACGGATCTGTCGTCCGCGTTTTACCCCGGGGGTGAACGCTGCGAGCTTTGTAAGGGGGGGAGGGACCGGTGTTTTTTCAGGCCACGGAGCAAACCATGACGCCACGATAAGTGATTATTGTTGTTCGCGTAACCGGGCACCGCAACCATTCCGTGGCGTGCGTGAAACATCATACGTCCGTGCATTCTTACGTTGAGCCGAGCAAGCGAGATAAGGGAAGTGGCCCAAGGGAGCTGGGGAGCAGAGAGAGAAAGAGTTTGCTCGCGTGTTTGTGATGTGCCTGTTTTGCACCAAGACGTACGTAGCAAGTGGGGTGCGCGTGAGCATCGAAGGCAGGGCAGGACACGCATTGTAATGTAGATGCCTGCCACATGCGCTGACTACACACGCTTGCACACTGATGCATACGTACCGATACGCACACATGTACAGGTCTGCATACGTTCACGTGTACATCCCACAACATGATCATAATGCCCATATACACACATTCAGATGTACATTCACGTGAATACTAAAAACCATGTATGTATGCAGACTGATATACACATGCACATGTCTGCATAATGTATGCATACCACCTAATATTGATGCCCACATATAAGCGTACAGAGATATATAATACATACACATATACGTGGCACCTAACACTGTTATACTGTTTGTTTATACGTAGACTTATGTGTAAACATACTGCACAAAATTGATGCTATCCACTTACATAAATACGTGTGTACATACCGCCAAAATTTGATCCAAACATACCCATGTACATAATACTTAGGCAAATACACAAGTAAATAAAGGCACATAGAATACACGTGTGCGTACAATTTAATACACAAATATGAAAGTCCGATTATTTCCAGGTGTACATCAGCTTGTGGACAATCCCATATGTGCACAAGTCTGCGTACACATGCGCCCTAACACCCGGGTGCACATACTAAGGTTGCCGTGATACAGCGATACCACCGCATGTCATACGATCCACTATTATCGTTTCGGTCATTTGGCAAGATATTGTCATAACGTGATAACTGTTAGTCGTAAAAAAAAATCTTAAATATTTCAATTCCTGATCAAATATTAAACGCGACAACGATGCGGTGGAGTTCACAATGATGATTTAAGTTCTAAAGGAAAGCAACCGTCCCCCGTTAAAAGTTTTTTGTAGAAAGAAAAAGAATCCGTCGTTATTGAGGGCACACACGCCGATTGTGTGACGTTGCCATTTTTCTGACAGCGTGTGTGATTGTTGTTAAGGGCGTCACGCTGCCGAGATGTTAACTTCCTCGCCCGGTATACAGGAGGCCGTGGGTTCCACCCCGACCCTGACGCCTGCTGCTGTATATTTGGAGTTGGCGTGTTCTCCAGGATTTTTCTCCGGATCCTCCGGTTTTTCTCTCCACATTGAGATTCAGCGTTTACGCATTTCGAGCATTTGGCTGCTATAAATGTCCCACGTGATAACAAGCCACTTAGTTGAGCTGTCATTTGTGGCCAGGTCGCTTCTGAAAAAAAAGAGCTGTTATAGCTCAGTGGGCCTTGGGTAAAAATTTTTTTTATATATATATAAATTGTAGTTGGTTATAATACTTAGCTGGAGTGAACTGCAGATGATTAACCTTTCAGCCATCCTTTAAAAAACAATAAGACCAAAAAAATACATACACAATTACGTTATGGAGAAACCGAGCTTTGCGGTAAAAGGAAATCGTAAACATTTGGTGTGGAATTCGTTTGGTGAAAATTAACGATATTACAGCAGGCCTTGCTAACTCATACCCACATAACACAGACAAAGGCACCCCGCCCCTCCCCCGTAACAGCACTTGCCCCAACATACCCACATCTACCCGTACATACAGGGATGCATACGTACATCCAGATACCAATTGGACTACTTATGCACTCGCCCATGTACGATATGTTAGAGAAGCTTATGTACGCGCACATTTTACCTGCGCAAAAATGACCACATGGCCATACGCACGCATACTTATGCATTTAGTGAACGCGCATAAATACGCGTATGCTTTGCATGCGTTGCATACAATAAACATATGCACACACGTGTAAAATGTAAATACACTTGCATGTTACGTTTCAACACATGTTGCACACGTGCTTATGCACGCACACGCATACATGTACACGTATACATACACATGCAAAACACACGTGGCAGGTGGCAGGTTCCCTGGATGTCGCGTGAATTGAGAAAATTAATACCAAGCTGTTACAATAGAGCGAGAAAGTGTGGGGGGGGGGGGGTTGTGGGGGGGAGGGTGCATGGGGGGGGTTGTTAGGAGGGGGCAAGAGCCCCCCCCCTCGATTTTGCTGCAAATTAAAAAGAAAAAAATTGCGTATATAGCAAACTCTACCAAACCTTACTTTCGTACATGAAGGCGTTTATAAGATTTACATTTTATATTAACGGTTTCGCTAATTTCGTTTTTAAAATTTTTTGGGGGGTAAAATTCCCCGTTATTTAACTGTTGCCTTATGCTGTTGTGAATGCGCGTATGGGGTTGCGTTTGTGTGTGTGCGCGTGTGCGTGTGCGTGCGTGTGTGCGCGGGGAGCGGTGGTGCGGTGGTTCGCGCATTGCTCTGCTATCCCAGCGGCGACCCCCTGGGTTCGATTCGCAACCGTGTGGACAACGTAATTGGCAAAGCGGTTTAACCTGAACCCGTTCTGGGCCTCCCCTCGGACGACTCGGCCTTAAATGAGTACCCGGTCTGGTGTGTAGAACATCAGCACTGGGGGAGACAAAGGCGGCCAGGTGTGGTCCGAGCCACACCAGCCTTAATGCCTTAATAAGTGCTCGCCCACAGCTCTTCACCCAACAGTCTGTAAGGCTAACTTGGGGGATCTTTGTCTTGGTGTGTGTATGTTTTCTTCTCTGTGCGTGCGTGCGTGCGTTGGAGTTTTTTCATTTCGGGATTTTTTGTTGTCAATGGACACTTATGAAATGTTAACAAACTGCAGTGAAATTATGAAAAACGGGTTTATCTCTCCCATCATCCAAAAGAAAACTTGCAGCAAAATCATGGGACAAGCGATAACTTTGAACGTCGTCACTGGTCGTATCTGCGTTTGTCCGTCGTCGTCGTCGTCGTCCGTGTACTAAGTTGGTCGCTGGGGTTTTTTTTTAGCGACATTTTAATAACCGTAGATGTGTATTTAAAATTAAAGTAATGACAACAAAAATACAGCGATCACTAAAGGCGGACGGGAAAGTTCTTTTTAATAAAAAAAAAATAGTGAAATGTAAAAAAAATGGAAAATAAAAAAATACCCATACTTTTTAGAACTAGTCGTCTAAACCTATAGGGATCGTTCGTGAATGTATAATTGTGTTCTCACTTGAGGCTGTGTTTTTACAGTACTGTCATGTTGAAACAGAAAAGCACTAACAAGGATACCAGTATTTGTGGTCCTATCTTTTGTAAAAAAAAAAAAATCTTTTTTGTCGAGTCGGTCTATCTTGTGCTTTATATTATTATGCAGTATTATTATTCGTATAAACTTGGAGAGCCCTATAGAGCATTGTGTCTTGTTGTTGGTGGTGCTGGTGAACAAGTGTGGGGAGCGGTAGTGTAGCGGTTACTGCGCTACGAACCTGGCGGACCCGTGTTCGATTCCCGCTTACCAGTGACAAGTATCTGAACCGGTCCTGGGCTTCCCTTAGGTCGACTCATCCTCAAATGAGTACCCGGTGCGGTGTGTAAACATCGCCACTAGGGAGACAAAGCTGTCTTTGAACAAGTACCCCCCCCCCCCCAGCTGTCCTGAAGCCCCATGCATGAGCCTCCACCAAGACACAAGAGACTGATGGCGACTCCGCTTGAAGAATGGTGATGCAGGTTCACTCACCTGCGGGTCCTCCTGTACCACACGAGCCCATCTCCTCCGCCGGCCCGCGCCGCACCTGTGCAGCCCAACCCTAGAGAGGGCTGCTTGGATCTACATGAGCCAGCGGTTGGCTACCTATCATGCCGACGGAAGTTCAACATACGTACTACCAACCACCTTTGTATCCCCCGCTGCTGACAGCAACCACTGCCTCCCAACCAAGGTACTCATTTGATACCATTGGAACCTCATTTGCCAGTAAAAAATATGATCATTGGTTTTTTACCCTTCTATCTGGCAACAAAACTGACACCTTTTTTACAAGGAGTCATGTTTGCATAGACCACAATACCTGCAGTCATAATGCAAACAAAAAACATAACTCTGATAATGTGCACTGTCCTTGAAGTTGATTGGTCCACACCCGAGACAGCTTTCCTTAGAGCCTAGTCTCACATGGGTTGGACCAGATGACGCCAAAAGGCGCACAACTCAAAGACTTTTGGCGTCATCTGGTCCAACACCACGTGAGACTAGGCTCTAAGGAAAGCTGTCTCGGGTGTGGACCAATCAACTTCAAGGACAGTACATACATTATCAGAGTTATGTTTTTTGTTTGCATTGACTGCAGGTATTGTGGTCTATGCAAACATGACTCCTCGTAAAAAAGGTGTCAGTTTTGTTGCCAGATAGAAGGGTAAAAAAACAATTATCGTACTCATTTTATGTTGGGCGTTGGACGTGATTCACCCTCACTGATCCAGGATTTGTCACGGTAGGATTTCACATGTGAAAGATTTTTTTTTTTTAAGTTGTCTTTAACTGTGTCCGTTTGTATTCTAGGGCTAATTGCTGGGACATGCATTTGGCGTCGTCTCCAAGGGTCCTGGCGACCCCAAGGGAGAGAGGAAGTCCAAAGACTTGGTGGTGGGAAATTTCTAAAGCTCGACTTTAAGAAAAACATTGTTTCGTTTCAGTTGCACGTCTCGTCTACCTGTGTGTGCAGCAGCTGCGGGATTCCAGCGGAGGGAATCATCTGGGGAGGGTGGAGCGTTTCCCCGCCGCCTTGCCAACGAATGACACCCTGGATCTTTTAAACGCGCGCGGACGCACCCAGCCAAGGACTCGAGAGGCAAGATCTTAACGTTTCGCCTTCAAGGCTACACTTTATTGCTTTCAACGAAGCATCTAAAACGATTATGAAGAATTAAAAAAATAGGGGTGAGAGTTTACTAAGCAACCTCCATAAACCAAACATCGCTCACATCATCATCATCATCGTCGTCATCGTCGTCACAGCTGCATTAGAGCCAGTTTGAGCATTTTAACACGAAAACAATGCATCCCGTGCCTAATTAATTGCATTTTATCTTACCGACTTAACTCTATCCAGATCACATTTCCCCTAACCCCCCCCTCTCCCGCCCCCATCTCCCGTTTACCTCCCGTCAAGTACGAACGCGGTTTCTGAACAGAAGGAAAATATCGCGCAGATTTAACTAACTCGCTCGTCGCGTACATTTAACTAACTCAAGGCATTGAGGACTTTGCTTTGCAACCCTCGTGTTAAACCGCCACGGCACACGGCACGCGAGTGCTTAAAACACCCCCTACTACAGCCCCAGATCCACTCTGCGGGGCATCGATTAATATCGACTAATATCGATTTTTTTTATTTTAATATCGACATACAGTACATGTACACACACATCGGTGGCGGAGTGGTTAGCGCACTGCGCTGTGAACCCGGCTACCTGAGTTCGCATCCCAGGCCGGAGCTAACGGCGGCGTAGGGCGAGCGACATCTGAAACGCGTCTCGTGCAACCCCTTTCATCTCACGTGGTGCTAACCAGCGTGGTGAAGTATGGTCAAACAACTCGCCCATTCATCCTTCAAGCAAGCAATCGAGGCCTTCACCCGGCAGTGGGTTGACTAAGAGCTTTTCATCAGTATTACATAGACACGCATGGAATGTGCGCGCTTCTTGGATTCCGTTAAGCAGCAAGTGTCGTCAAGAGTTCTCAACGCATCCAATCCCTAAAGGCTGTGACAATGGTATAAAAAAAACGTGGTTATCGAATCGCCAGAATTAATTGAATTGTTGATGTGAATCTTTACACCCCCCTTATCCCCCCCCCCCCCAGCACTCATTGTGAATTTAAGATAAATCTAATTCACTCTTGAGGATTTTGTTTTTCCGTCTCCCAAATCCAAAAGTATTTGAAGATCGAAGCGGCCAGCGGTCTCCGTGGACTGCCCAACGACCTGAGGCGCCCTGGCATTGTCGCAAGTGGGGGACATTGTGATCCTGTTTTGTTTGTTTGTTACATACGGCGATGGATATGGGAGAGAGAGAGAGAGGGACCGTCCGGAGAGGGTGCCACAACACCCCCACGTGGCCTCAGCCAAACAACAAAGCAATGCGGGTCACCTGGGAATAGCACGGGGTGGAGCAGTCTGCTTGGGCTGGTGGAGATGGTGGGCCAAGAGATGGCAGAGAGAGCAGATACATTCTTGAATCAATCTGTGCGGAGCTCTGAGCGCGAACCCCCATCCCTCCCCTGGAATTTGGCGAAGGGTTTTTTTCTGGTTTCCTCCAAACATGAAGCCATGCTCTGTATTGAGAGATGTTAACTACCTCGCCTGGTGTACAGGAGGTCGTGGGCTCGATTCCGACCATGACGCCTGCTGTGTATTTGGAGTTTGCGTGTCTCTCTCTCATCATCATCACAGTGGCTAGGAAATGTTAACTACCTCGCCTGGTATACAGGAGGTCGTGGGCTCGATTCCGACCATGACGCCTGCTGTATATTTGGAGTTTGCGTGTCTCTTTCATCATCATCTCGGTGGCTAGGAGATGTTGACTACCTCGCCTGGTATGCAGGAGGTCGTGGGCTCGATCCCAACTCTGACGTCGGTATTCGAGAGAGTTTGCATGTCTGAATATGCTCGTCGCTTGGATTTTTCTCCGATTTTTTTCCTCCACGTTTATAATCAACGCGTGTTTAGAGTGGTTGGCCGCTGTACATTTCCACACGGCGATAAGCCACTTCGTTGAGCCATCGTTTGTGGCCAGGTCGCTTCTGAAAAAGAGCTATCTCGCTCGGTGGGCCCTTTACCTTGTCAAATAAAAACAATAGTTCATAGTTTATTCTTGAATCAGTCCGTGCGGAGCGCTGAGCGTGGTTGGTTTTCTCAGAGTTTTTGTTGTTGTTCTGGTTTCCTGCAAACATGGACCCATCCCTCCGTATCAATGGGATTCACGACCAAACATTCCCAATGTTGCAGTCACGTCTCGAGTCTCCGCGTGCGACCGTTTGTTTTAAGAGCGGGGGAGGTGGCGGGGGAGGGAGGGAAGTGCGTCTTATAATCGTGAAAAAAATCTGCGTTGCCTCCTCCAACCAAAAAAACATACATTTAATGTACAGTGCTGTGTCAATCCACTGCTGGATGAAGGCCTTTCGCCATGTCTTGTCGGTCATGGGGGTTGCTTGACCATACGTCACCACGCTGGTCAGTGCCGGTTGTTGCCGGGGAGGGGGATGGGATGGGGGGGGCAGGATCGGTTTTCAGATAACTCTGGTCCACCGGGTCTGTGTCGCAGTGCGCTAATCGCGGCACCACCGCGCCAATTCTACGACGATGTAAAGTGTGCAAACCATGGTATGAGCAACGTTTTATTTATGCTGGACAATTTCCCTTTAATTCTAGATTTGAAGCTTTCGTGACTGCAAGGATTCATACTCTTAGTTCTTTCGGTAAAGTCACGTAGGTAAAAAAATGAAATTAAAATTAATAAAAATAAAATAATAAAATCACGACGTTTCGGAGGCAACACAAGTCTCCGTCATCAGGTGGGGTGCACGTGTACGTGGACATGCCTGTGCACAAGCACCTGTTGGTGCACATGATAGAAGAGAAACGAAAATGCCCATGTTTATACCAGTGTTGGCTGACAATAAAGAGAGTACTGTTAAACGCTGGGGATGTTAACACTCGGTAAAGTAAAATAGTGCCTGTCAGATAAGATGGTGCCCTTTAGTCATCATCATCATCACCACCACCTCCCACAATCCTGTGATGTCATCATCCACTCAGCAGCTGCAGTCATCATCATTACTACCAGCCAAGGTCAATCCACTGCTGGATGAAGGGGTGCCCTCCATGCCCATGTAATCGTGTACCCATCGCCTGTAGATGAACTGATTTTTTAAATATATTATTTGGGTTTTTCGGTAAAGCCAAGTAGATAGAAAAAAAATTACGTGGCTTTACGGAAAGACCCAAAGAATATGAATCCCTGCAGTCACGAAAGCTTTAAGTCAAGAGATTTAGATGTCCGTCTCCTCGACGCGTTCCGTTCCTTGGCTGCTGCTGCTGCCACTCCGTTGCTACCCTTGTCCACCTCGGACATCGCCCCTTCTGGACATGGCGCCACTTGCCCAAATCCACAAATTACCGCCCTTCATCCTGTTTGAGAGATGTCATTAAAGTCACGTAGAAAGAAAATAAATCAAATCAATTTTCTTTCCACGTGACTTTACCGAAAGAACAGAAAGCTCCAAATCCAGTTTAGATGTCATTAACCTTCGTATGATCTCCAATCCACGTGTCTCTCTGTCTCGATGTAATTCCTTCATGTTTTTGAGAGATGACGTTAACTTTTGTATGATCTCCAATCCATGT